GTATCACCATTAGACAAATTCTACATAAATCATTGTTTATGTTCAAAACCAATTTGCATACATCCTTATTCTCTAACATATCTTTTTTTTCTCCATTCCCCCCCCCCCCCCCCCCCCCATTTTTTTGTACAAGACAAGACAAAACATATATGACATTGTTCATAAGTACACGATTGTTCATACATATTAAACAAAGGTGTCTATACAGTTTTAAATAGTTTTGTAAACGGTTTTTTTACACTCCTCCTCCTCATCATTCATCAACATCATCATCATCTGTCATCATCATCACAATCACCATCATCTGTCATCATCATCACAATCACCATCATCCTGACATTATTCTTAACATCATCATCTTCATCATTATCATCATCATCATCATATAAGATATTATTCTTAACATTATCATCATAATCATCTGACATCATATGACATCATATGACATCATCAACATCATCATCATCTGTCATCATCATCACAATCACCATCATCCTGACAGAATTCTTAACATCCTCCTCCTCCTCATTTGTCATCATCATCATCAGACATCAGCATCCTGACATTTTTCTAAACATCATCATCATCATCACTATCATCCTGACATAATTCTTCACATCATCATCCCCATCATCATCTTCCTCATCCCCATCATCATCATATAAGATAGTATTCTTAATATTCTCATATGACATCATATGACATCATCAACATTATCATCATCACCATCATCAGTCATCAGTCATCATTATCCTTTGTCATCATTTTCATCCGATATCATAGGCAGATATTAAAAAATTGCCTATGCCATGTACATACATAAAGACATACACTGAGACACTGATGCAAAAACAATATGTAAAAACCTATGACATCAAACACGAGAGAGCAAAACCAAATAAACTGAAACAGAAAGAGAAAAAAAAAAGAAAAAAACAACCCAACAAAAAACAACAACAAAAAACAAAACACAAAACATTACAGGAGATGGGTGAACAATCCTAGGTCATTTTCTTTTAACTAAGCCTGGCGAATTAAAATGTATGATTTTTTTTTTTTGATTATTATTACAGTGAGGAGACGATAAAGTACAATAGATGTATATATGTAATAGAACAAATATGTCATATTAAGTCATATTATAACTGCATCCAGTTATATATTTGATGGTTAAACTCATCTTTATTTATTAACTTATTCTGTTTATACACAAGGATCTTTTGTGCTTTTAATTCAAATTTCATATGGTTTTTGAGACTAGTCAGATTAAGGTCTATTTCTAGGCATTCAGTTTTATATATGTATTGTTTTATAAGAAGTATTATTCTATATAAAACTTTGTATGTTTATATGTATGTTTACCAAAAATGAATTCTTGTTTATCAAATCTTAGTGTAAGGTTTTTAGTTATAATATTTGTTTTTAGCTCGTCAATTAGCCTATCAACTTTTTCGCAATCCCATAGCACATGAACTATTGTTTCAGGCTAGATTTTACAGAAAGTGCAAAGGTTATTGTGTGATTTGCCAATTTTGAATAAAAATGTGTTTGTAGTGAGGATTCTGTGGTTTATTCTGTATTGTAGCCACTGTAGTTTGGAGTTGGGGGTGGTTTTAAAAGGACATTCATATATTTTTTCCATGTTTCTTCATCTATATTATCATTTAAGATCCATTTTCTTTGAGCAGTAGGTTTAACATTATTTTTAATTAATATTGAATAAATGTCTTGTGCTCCTTTACTATTTCTAAGTATTAACTTAAGATAGATAGGTATATTTGGACAAATAACAGCTTTTTCTGTAGTAAAAATGTGATGATTTTTTCTTATAAATTGATACACAGCATTCTTTAGGCCTTGGTATGTCAACAAAAATGTCTTCATGTTATATTTTTCTTGAAATTCTTCAAAATGGTAGAGTGATCCATCCTGTTTAATAATGTTATATACAACTTGTACGTCTTCTGAAGTGGAAGATATAGTCTCGAAATATTCCGTCTGTGCACAGCACTCGAACCGGAATCCCAAAGAACCGCTAATTGAAACAGAAATTCCTACTAGGCCATGGTCAATTGTGTCGGCAGACCTTTTTGAGTATAAGGCACAAAACTACCTCTTATCCGTTGACCATTACTCGAAATGGCCAGAACTGGCGAAACTCGACAACATGAGCAGTAACAATTAATACTATTCAGTATTTGAAGAGTCAGTGTTCCAGATATGGAATTATGGACAAATTAATTACGGACAATGGACCGCAATTCGCGAGTTCGGAATTCAACGAATTCGCAAAACAGTATAGATTCCAACATGAAACCTCAAGCCCCCATTTTCCACAATCTAACGGTTTAGCCGAACGCTGCGCACAAACGGTGAAGAATGCAATCTACTTCGCAAAGCTAATGATCCATACAAAGCCTTGTTGGATTACCGAAACACAGCTATTGAGGAAATTATTCTTTCTCCCGCGCAAATGTTTCTTGGCAGACGTTTAAAGCCTGATTTGCCAACCACCGCACCCCTTCTAATTCGGGATGTCACGTGCTCAAACTACCTTAAAACGCGCATGAGGGCAAGACAAGTAAAACAGAAGTTTTACTATGACAGACATAGTGGTCCATCTCTTAAACTACTTAATGAAGGTGACAATGTCATTATGCAGAAAGCAAAAGAAAACCAATGAATTACAGCTACAATTTCACAACAACATCACAACCCAAGATCGTACATCGTCAAAACGAACGGCGGAAGGAAATACAGGAGAAACCGCAAACACCTTCGTCCTAACAAAGGCGGAATTTCCCATTGATTTGGATCACGACGATGAGCCGTTCATTCCGACAACCGAAATGCAACCACGAGAAACGCTTAGAACGGCTGATAAACAACAAAACTCAAGTGACGCCGTCGATCTCTGAACAGTCAAAGCCGCAAAAAAAAAAAAAAAAAAAAAAAAAAAAAAAAAGATCAGGGCGAGTAATTGTGCCGAATAGGAAATACCGTGATTATGTCGCTTGAAGTGTTGCGAAGTCAAGTGGCGAATTATTGTGCTGTATAAAATGTGCAAAAGGTGTGAAATATTATAACAAAAGTGCAAATTCTGGGAAATATCAACAAGTGCGAAATGTGAAATATCAACAAATGCGAAAAGTGTTAAATACAAAAAAATGTCATCCTCACAACAGTGATATAAGTTGAACGTGTTCAAAGTTCAATATCTGAAAATTGCACTCCCAGAATGATTGATTCTGATATTCTTTATGGAAATTTAACGTGTTTATTTAACGCTGTGTCAATTGAATTAAGCTACAAAACGTGTTGATATTCTGACGTGCCAGTGATTTATGCGAAACACAAATAGTGTTTATCGACTGTTAAAGTTCAATTTCAAAGTTCAATTTCATGTTAATTGTTCATGATAGGACTGTCTAGGAATACAGGACTGTATATAGGAGTTTATAGGATACTTGAAGTTCATCGGACTCGGTTAAAAATAATTTACCAGTTTTATATCAGTGCTTATCACACTCACACTTCATATAATTCTCTTTATTAAATGAATAACAAATTCATGTTTTACCTAAGGGGAAGGATGTCATGTATTAGTTTGTTATACGTACATGTAGTTCGAGTAATACTATCTGATTCACATACATGCTTAACACAATGTATCACCAAGCTTACGTATGTTAAACATTCAAGTGACCGAGATTAAACAGCATATATTACGCCATCATCGTGTTAGTTGTGGTTATGTGTAACACTCCCTTTTTAAACCATGTATTTTTTTCAAGCCCACAGTTAGCTAATGTTACTATATCAAATAAATTTCTAAAATAATAGCCCAATCTAACATATCTTTATAATGTGCTTGCAAAATACAATTATAAGTCCTCTTTAACTTAATTCAATATTTGATAATTCTTAACTTTCTTGCCAATGACAATGAATACCCCACCCCCACCCCCACCCCCACCCCACCCCAAGTTCTAAATAAACCATACTATTACAAGTATTTTTTCCTACGCCCAGCAGTCGTTTACAAAACAGAGTATGATTTTTTTTCAGAAGTATGATGATAATTCAGAAAATTGACAAGACAATTTACATTCAAAAATTCATGGTTTAAAAAGGGAGTACAATTTGTATATAACATTATTAAACAGGATGGTATTTCAGAACCGTAGCTTAGAATGCTATTTACATTTACATACGTATCAAAAACTGATAATTGAGTTTCAATATTAGAATATTTCCGACATACATTCATAACTGAGAACAAAGCCTTTCTACCCTGATCTGCAATTTTATTTTTGGTAGTTAAATTAATTAACGATTTCTAGTTGACAACCATTGTATTTCCAGAATTCATTATTTCTCAAAATACCCCCATTTCGAAACACAAGATTTTTTGTTATATATTGATGGTTAGTTCCCATTTTTTTGTGTACGATTCCAAAACCCTCTGGCGTTTCTGAAAAAAAATACCATATCGTCTGCGTACATCAAAAACACATCAGTGTTTGAATTTCTATCGACTGACGGCCGTTGTAAATTATAAATTGTATTTCGCAATCACTAACATATAATGAAAACATGTACATTGTACTTGTGTAGCACTTAAACCAACTCACAGACAACTGTTTTAGCTCGATTTAAACAGATTCATATATATATATAGGTAATACGACTACTGTTTTCGAGGATAAAATGATTATCTGAAGTAGGCCTACTACATGTACTTGTAATACATGTATGTATCAGTATGCCTATTTATTTGTATTTTGGAAAGAAATTCAAGTTACTTCCCATTTCGACATACATTTAGTCAACATCGGAGAATCCACGTGTTTGATCCGTTCTCAGATTAATAGTCTATGAGAGAGATACTTAAAATACAGTGGTAATTAAGATACGTTGTGCAATCTAATGACTAGTGCAAGTCTAGTGGAAGGTCAGCAGAGAACCTAATCTAAAAATATATTAGGGGCTTTCCTGTCGTGACGTCACAAGACAACATGGCGTCCACCTTTCACTTCAGCAAGGAAACACCCCCAGATACGGTTTTCAGCGATATACAGATGGTGAACAAATTCCAAAATGAGGTAGCATGGTTCCTAACGACATTTGTTTGTTTGTTGTAATTATGTGACAAAATGCATACAGAGAATTGATTATAGACAATACCAGATTAGAAAACAAAAGGCATGTGATCACTCAGTGACAGTGTAAATTCACATTGATTGTAGGAGACTCCGACTCTGTCAATCACACTGTACAAACAGCCGAAACCGACTCTGTCAATCACACTGTACAAACAGCCGAAACATGCTGTCTGTATTAAATATATAACTCTAGTTCCAGGAGTCCTATACTTACAAAACTTAATGTATTTGTTAACCTTAACGTTACGCCCTATCCTATGTCACGAAGCCAGTTTTGTATTGCACTCTCCAAAGAATAGATCTAGACTGCAGTTGTTTGGTGCAATTCTCTGGAGGAATTCTCTGGAGGGATACATACAAAATAAATGTGCGCTAGTTTAGTTAAACAGCTTAGCTAATTATGAAATTATTGACAATAGTCAATAGAAATGGACAGTCAAAATTAAATTAAAATGATCAACAAATCAATTAAGTAACTGGTATATAATATACTGTGTTTTGAACATTTAGTTTGATGGAATCATTAATTTATAATTCTACTTGCATTTCAATTTATAATTCTAATAATGAAAATGTTCTAATTTCAGCAATTCCGTCAACTTGTTGCATATTCTTTGGAGTTTCTTGCTGATCCAGGAAAGGTAATTTCATTCTGTAACTAGTAATTCTCTGACATACATATGTACATGTTCTGTGTAAGAGAGGTCAATATTTTAACAATGCGATTCCTCTGCTAGGAGTCAAACTCGGGACCTCTGGATAACTACATGTTATTGTATATAGGCTTATGCTCTACAATCTCAGCTAAAGAGAAATTCTCCCTATAGTCAAGTCAGTTGGAAGCAGCTAGTATTTTACCTGGGTGACACATGCATAAACTGTAGTTGATATCCTGTAATTTCTACAGAAACTGTTGTAAAAGGAGAGACTCAAGCTCATAGACCAACGTTATCTGTATTGTTGGATGGTCTCCCTTCTTCAATAATTATTTTGACCCTAAAGACACACATTCTTCTGTAATACCACCCTACAGGAGATTGATGAGTACAAAGCGAACCTGTTACTGGTGTGAAGTATGTGTGGACAGATATTTTAAATTACTAGATTCAATGATTCAAACCTGGTATATATCAAGAACTGTTACTTTTGCCAGATTTTGTTATGTATTTGGCCTTTAGGATGTTCTGATTCTTGAATTAATTCTTTATAAACATCAGTTCACTAGTTTCATACATCTCAAATGTTTCCATCTATCTACACAGGGTACATGTAACAAAGTAGAGGCAGAATAACTCATGAGTGAAAAAAACTGTGAGTGTTAAATTAATTTTAACTTAAAACTAATTTGTAATGAATTGTACTACTTGCAGTCGCAAAAACTGATGGAACAGCTGGGTGAATTTGCTGAGAGTAATGGAGTGGGAGCCTCGACACTGAAGAATGTATTTAAAAGTCTGCTCCTAGTTCCCAATAGTAAGTAACACCAGCATACTCCTGACACCAAAAAATTAGCTGGAACATTTTATCTTAATAAAAAAAAACTACAATTTTTTTTTTTTACATTTTGAACATTTCCGTTATTAGCATTCATAATAGTGTTTATGTGACCAGAGTTTGATTTAACCTATAACAGGTGCACTGAAGAAGAGTCTGAGTCCTGTCCAGCTACAGGAGGATCTAGTCAATCTAGGTATGTGTCTGTTATATAATTTATATTGATATGTTTGGCTATAATGTGATGAGCATATTAGGCAAATTTGTGCCGGTAAATACATGTATTTATAAAATTAACTATTGATTATAAAAGGTATTGAGAGACACCCAAAAGTACACCTATGAGTGGTAACCAAATTGGAACATTATTCATCTATGTACATTGTATGATGCAGATTTCCTTTTTTTGTGAATGGATCTATTCTAAATTCTAAATATAGTTTAACACAACTTATTGACTAACTTTATCCGCCTAACTCTTCCAAAAATGGAACTGAAGTAATTCTTGGGAAAATTCTATCATACGGTATCTTTAAAAATGGAAAAAATATTGTTCAAATGAATATTTTAACAAAACAAATGACTAAAGTTTATAAGAAAGTGTCAACACTCACATGACATGAAGAAACCTATTTAAATGTATGCTGTCAATTATTTTCATAAACTGACTGATATGATACTAGCCTCGTCTGGCAATACACACCTATTGTTTATAATATGGGTGTAATGACAGATGAGGCTAGTGCTGTACCTGTGTTATGAAGAGGTGTACAATTTAGAGTACCCTTTCCTGCTTAAATGTCCCAATGAAACTGACTCAACTAAAGGGGCACTACTAGTAGATGCAGGTGCTGTTAATACATGTATCTATAAGGAATGCAGTTTGATGGCACAGTAAATAGTGTACTCACCTTTAACCAAGACAGCCAGAGTTAAACTTCCTAATTGCATGTGAAAAAGTATCAAGTCTCCTGACCGACTACCAAGGTTTTCTCCTGGTACTACAGGTTTCTCCCACATTAAGACCTCTAGTCACCTGTACACCTCCATCTGGGCCAACAGGGTAATGAGGGCCCCGTATCGGAGATACGGGTGGCCTATAGTAATCTGTCTGTCTGTCTGTCTGTCTGTCCGTCCACAAATTTTATTCCTGGCTAATAACTTTGGTATCTATAGATTGATGTACATGAAACTTGGTCAAGATGTTCAGTTCACAAAAATACACATTGAGGTAAAAAGTCAAGGTCAAAGGTCAAGGTCATTAGGTTCAAAGGTCAAGGTCAAATTTTACATCTTTTCACTGATGAACATTTTGTTATGACATTATGGAGCAAAGTTGATCAAAATTAAACAAGGAGTCAACTGACTTAAGGTCAAGGTCATCGGGTCAGGGGTCAAGGTCAAATTGTGTAGCTTTTCACTGGTGAACATTTCGCTATGACATTATGAAGCAAAGTTGTTCGGAATTAAACAAAGAGACACACTGAGGTAAACAATTCAAGGTCAAGGTCATTAGATTCAAAGGTCAAGGTCAAATTTTGCATCTTTTCACTGATGAACATTTTGTAATGACATGATGAAGCAAAGTTGATCAGAATTAAACAAGGAGTCGACTGACCAAAGGTCAAGGTCATTGGGTCAAAGGTCAAGGTTAAATTTATATAGAGGTATAAATAGTTACAGTAGTTTAATGCATGCACATCGAATATATAATATTTTCGAGTAAATGGCAGAACTATAAATGCTGTTTGTCTTTACTAATTATATTTATTTAATTGTTGTTTCAGGTTTGTCTAAAGACAAGGCTAACTACTTTTCTGAACAGGTAACATTGGTTTGTTTTATTAAAAAAAAACTTACAAAAATTAATATTTCTCCCACAACCACTATAGGGTTCCTAACTCCCATCTTATTGGATTAACCTGCTATAGATCTAGAGTTGGTAAACATTTTTGGTTAACCACAAGTGGGTAATACCCCCCTAGATGCAGTTTCATTGATCAATTTTCTAATTATGATATAAAGTAAGTTACATGTACAATGCTTTGTGACGTCATCTTTCATTGTGACATCATAGCTGATGGCAATTTTATATTTCAAATAGGAATATATGGATTTTCTAGATATCTGAACGTTGTGGAAGAAAAAGGTCCCAAAACTCAAAATGTTTGATTATGATGCTTATTTTAGTTGGTTAATTTTCAAATCATAACTGACAATATAGGTAAACATTGTGTCAGTACAGTTTGAAAGGTAACTAGGTAACTCAATTTAAGTTACATGCAGATAGACTTGATAACCAACTATCACTCATTGGGAACCCCTATGTATGTAATAAATAAATAGACTTTTTTAGAGGAAGTTATCACAGTTTTAAAAATGATAGTTGGGAGAACTAGTGGTACTTACTGATCTTATCTTATGACTTTTTATAGTTACATGACAGTTGACAAATGATATTAATTGTGTAATATCTAAATAACTCAAAGTCACTCCGATATCCTCTCTGGTGATGTATTAAGATTGTTACATAATTACAGTGGAAAGCTAATCTGGCTGCACTGTCCCGCAGTGCCCTCGGTCAAACCCTGATGGTCAACCAACTACTGGACATGGAGTGGAAGTTTGGAGGTCAGTGTCATATATATGTTATAATGCCTTAACATATTTACCAACCATTTTAAATTTTCATGGGGGAGATACGTTCTGTATGCTCAAAATTGCAGCATAAATGAAATGTGTGTATATACCCCCTAGAGACAAAATAACCCTTTAAAATGACATATTTTGAGTTGTTCGTTCAGATGAAATTATTACCTCTTAGAATTTAGGAATAGTTTAGCAAATTCACTGGTTGATAATGATAAAGTTAAGGGTAACAAATCATGAGTCTCCCTCCTCAATAGGGAGGATTGGCAAGTATGCCTTTGCTAGTGTGAATCACCATTGTATGAGTGATGAGTAATATGTTGTAGAATATCTTATGTTGTTCCAGTATAATATGACAAAACCAAATGACAAAGTTAAAATTACCATATGAATTCAGTGAAATTCAGCTTACCTAACATATAATGGTCCGCAACTTTCATGTTATGTGATGGCACGGAAAATATGGCGTGGAGATTGGCTTCTGTTCAGCTCTTGCTTACTTTTTATTACTGGTAAACTAGATACCATATTTGTTCACAATCATCTTATTCTAGTTTCATAAGAGCATTTGGTCAAATAAATTTATCCTAACTGACTTTCAAATAGAGTTGTTATATTGATAACATAGCTGCAATTCGATGGTGAACTTTCCAACTATAAGAACATCAAAATTTATTTATTAAATCTAGGCAATCAAAAATATCTTTCACATTTGAAAATCTGTATTATATAGTGACCTTGTGTCATGCACACTTGATGAATGTCTTGTGCTGAAACACCTTTTGGTCCACCTATATACTGTAATTCATTCAATATTCAAAATATTACAGTGACAGCTGGAAGCAGTGAGGCAGACAAAGTTGGGAACACATTCTTACAGGTGAGATACTATTGGCAATACTGACGTGATACACATTAAGTTGTAGGTAAAAGAATTTTGAGATATATTTTTAGGTCACTCTTTGCGACGATATGAAGGAATCACTATTACATCTTATACGTCCATCGATCTGTATTTAGATAATTATAATAATAATTCAAGGTTCTTATATACCACTTTATCACAAATTATTATCCATGGTTAAAGGACCTTTGCAACCAGCCAACATCTTTCTCAACTCCCTGGGGAACATACAGCCAGTGCTGCCATTTTGGCACTTACAGCTAAGATTCAACATGACTTGAACCCACAACCCTTCGGTCTCGAGCCTGGCGTCCTACTACTAGACTGGCGTGCCTCCAAAATAATAATTTGAGATTATTTTATACCACTTTATCCCAACCTAGATCTTAGGGCATCTCATAGCGGTTCACTCATTATATATTATTATCCGTGGTTATAGGGCCTTTGCAACCAGCCAATATCTTTCTCAACTCCCTGGGGAGCATACAGCTGGTGCTGCCATTTCGGAGATTACAGCTATTAAGATTCAATAATTTAAGCATTATCGAACCACGTAATCATCTACAACTGAGTAGACTGTGACAAGTGGAGTTAAGTATCTTGTTCAAGGATACAAAACAGTGCTGTGACGTGACTCAAACCTGCAACTATTATTTGGTCACGAGCCACGGCATCCTTCCACTTGACTACCATGTCCATCTGTCTGTAGATACAGTCTTGACTGTCCATCAGTCTGTAGATACAGTCTTGACTCTCCATCAGTCTGTAGATACAATATAGGCTGTCCATCAGTCTGTAGATACAATCTTGGCTGTCCATCTGTCTGTAGATACAATCTTTGTCGTCTATTTGTCTGTAGATACAATCTTTGCCGTCCATCTGTCTGTAGATACAGTCTTGTCTGTCCATCAGTTTGTAGATACAATCTTGGCTGTCCATTAGTCTGTAGATACAATCTTTGATGTCCATCAGTCCGTAGATACAGTCTTGTCTGTCCATCAGTCTTTAGATACAGTCTTGTCTGTCCATCTGTCTGTAGATACAGTCTTGGCCGTCCATCAGTCTGTAGATACAATCTTGGCTGTCCATCTGTCTGTAGATACAATCTTTGCCATCCATTTGTCTGTAGATACAATCTTTGCCGTCCCTCTGTCTGTAGATACAGTCTTGTCTGTCCATCAGTCTGTATATACAGTCTTGTCTGTCCATCAGTCTGTAGATACAACCTTGGCTGGACAAATATTTTCTAATTTTCTATTTTTTCCCTTTGAATCTTGGTAGGGTGAACCACTACATCCATGTACTGTGTACCAGGAAATTCTCACTACTGTTTAAGGTTCACCTGTTATGCCCTCTGTTTATATATGATGGCAAACTTATCACGGCAGCAAATATTGGTAAAAAACATACCATATATATAGCAGTACATGTGAAAGGCAAAATGAACACTGAGCAAATACAGATTGTACCATTATAGAGCAAAGGTGTACAACACAAAGTGTGCCAGGTGATCAAGCTTGTTGTTTCCCTCATTCTTTGAGGGAAGACATATATATGGAGGACTTTAGGATTATTTAAGTTAGCCTTTAGCTTAAAGTTTTATATTACCTGTATGTACCTGATCTAGATTAACATACATTTTATTTTGGCTAAAGGTGGTTTGAATGAAAGACATTTTGGTAGCACGACGTTTCGGTACTACATTTTTTTGTAAAGACGAAACGCATGTTACTTGTAAAGGTACCTGCAAGCGTTCACACAAGTATAGCAAGAAAGAATTCTAGGCTTTGATGGTGATGGACAAAGACTAGGGTCATAATATTCACATTGATATTTTTAAGAATTGTTAAAGTTGTTTAAGCAGTGAGAGGATGAAATTGTGCTATGTTTTACATACAGTAAAATGTTCCAGGTTCAATTTTAAATGTCAGAGTTATATTATGGGGGCATATTTTGATTATCTTTCTGTTTTGTTTGTAGTTGAAGCTGGTGATAAATACAGGCAATGGGACTAAGAACACATATATGGGTAAGTTTCTTAACTACATTGTACCTATACTTGTTAGAATTACATGTAATTTGTACAAGGGTTTCCCCTATACTAACCATTGCAAAATATTTGCAGAAACGATTTCATTGAAAAAAACACTGTTTCGAATATAAATTAAACATGGTAGATTCAGACTGAAATAAAAAATGAATTGTTATTGACAGATATCGTTAAGACATTTCAATTCAATGTAAGGCTACACGGAGCAACAATACAACGTTATGTCCTTATTTCCCGTGTATTAATGCAGCTGTGGTGATATTTGCAAGTACAGCCATAAACAAAATGTGTGATATGATTGATTTTATTCGTATCAGACAATCAACACTAGTTGGAAATATGTGTTTTTTCCCTATATGATAGAAAACCTTCAATTTCTTGCAGGCTCTTGATTTGATGTCTGCTATCGTAACAAGGCTGTCAATAAAATATTGTATCTTTGTAAAAAAAACAACACCACTTACTTGTATCTCTTTGTCATTTCTCCATGTCAACACTTGAAGATCTGTTTCACTGCTATACAGAGCTACACCTTCCACAGTTTTTGTTCATTCCTCTGTTCCATCACCATTGCATGTTTTTCAGAATTGACCTTACCACATTTATACTGGTTCATGTGTGTCATTAGCACTGTACAATGATCAGTACAAATATGAAATAAGGAAGGCCCCTATTTTAAACTTTAGTTGGTTGATGCAGATGACCAAACAAAGTAAATATACAATAAGGCATTACTGATTTTGTACATAAAAAGGGCAATCATGCAGTGGCGCTAAAGGTCCCAAGTTGAAAGTCCATGTCTAAAGTGTCCAACACATAATGATGTAGAGCTACAGTGATACAGAAAAAGTACCTATAAAACCATTGATAAGTGATTCTTCATAGTATTTCATGTACATAATGCCAGAATAAGTTACAGCTACAGCATTGCAGAAAACTTTGGAGACTGTAGTTCCACCAAAAGAGGTTGTCTCCTTATTGCCAGAAAAATCAATCACTATAACTACAGGTATTTAGCTAGGAAGCATTTATTTAAAGATTATTTTATCTGTGCAGAAAATCAAACAGTCACCTTTTCCCTATACCATATTCCCATTTGGTCCATTTAGGGCTCATTAATGGTACTGGTACTAAAGGTACAAAGTACAAGATTACCATAACAAAGCAGAAGCATGTATGAAACCCCAAATAATGAACAGAAAGCTTATTCTTAAACCAGAAATTCATGTAAACTTTGTAAGAATAAACAAAACATATTGGTGTCGGAGTAGACTTTTCCATAGTTTTACTCATTCGTCATTGTTACACGAACCACCATTATATATATAGGATCTTACATGAGTTTCAATTTTATATGATACTTATGAATCGAGTCTAAGAATTTTTCAGAGGCTCGCTAAAATGAAAAATTCGTGACGAGTTTCAAAAATATCATATGAAATGAAAAGGAGTGTAAGATCCGTTTTATCAAATAATCAAGATGTATGGCATTTATTCGAGTAAAATGACGATTTTCATGCAACATTGAAATGTAAAAAGCCGCCATTTTGACTTCAGTGCTTAAGTCTGTGACGTCATGTGACATCACAATTGAAACAATTGAAACTTACAACCAATCACAGGGCTGATAGGTCATATTGCATGGGTTAATACGCAAAAGAATATTGATAACACAGTACATTATGTGATAAATATCTGTATCAGATCTGACCTTACCAGTGTTCCTTGTTCTTTCATGTCTGCATCATTGTATATGTGAGAGTTAGCTTTATCAGCCTGACTCATTCCTTCATGTCACCAATATAATACATGTTTTAGAGCTGGCCTTACCACAATGTTTGTTTGTTCCTATGTGTCACCAACATTGTACTGACCTTACATGTTCATCTCGTTCCTCTTTGTCATCACTTGTCTGTTTCAGAGCTGACGTTACCACAGTTTTACTCGTTCCTCTATGTCACCACTTGTCTGTTTCAGAGCTGACTCTACCACAGTTTTTCTCTTTCCTCTATGTCTTCACTTGTCTGTGTCAGAGCTGACATTACCACAGTTTTTCTCGTTCCTCTATGTCTTCATTTGTCTGTGTCAGAGCTGACACTACCACAGTTTTACTCGTTCCTCCATGTCACCACCTGTCTGTTTCAGAGCTGACTCTACCACAATTTTACTCGTTCCTCTATGTCACCACTTGTCTGTTTCAGAGCTGACTCTACCACAGTTTTACTCGTTCCTCTATGTCATCACTTGTCTGTTTCAGAGCTGACTCTACCACAGTTTTACTCGTTCCTCCATGTCACCACCTGTCTGTTTCAGAGCTGACTTCACCACAGTTTTACTCGTTCCTCTATGTTACCACTTGTCTGTTTAAAGAGCTAACTTTACCACAGTTTTACTCGTTCCTCCATGTCACCACCTGTCTGTTTCAGAGCTGACTTTACGACAGTTTTACTCGTTCCTCTATGTCACCACTTGTCTGTTTAAAGAGCTAACTTTACCACAGTTTTTCTCGTTCCTCCATGTCATCACTTGTCTATTTCAGAGCTGACTTTACCACAGTTTTACTCGTTCCTCTATGTCACCACTTGTCTGTTTCAGAGCTGACGTTACCACAGTTTTACTCATTCCTCCATGAGATGGAGAAGGCGAAGGCCAGCCTCGAGTACTTAAGTTGATGGGTGTGTTGGAGGGTTGATTGTTGACTGATCGTGCTGTAGGGAGAAAGACAACCATCTAAAGTCTATGTGTTCTGAGGAACAGTTTTAAGCCAAATATAGAACATGTACCATGTTAGAATCTTAGTTGAATAAGATTCACTGTTTGTGCACCTTACATCATGAACATTTGGCAAGAAAATTTTGAAGAGTAACAGATAACTTCACAAGTGTATATGTACTTCAGTCTAACCTGTTTTACAGATATACAGTATAATCCATAAAGAAAGCTGTGATCAGAATGTTGCATCATACTATCATCCACGCAGGTGCTTAATACGTGTCAATGAAATGTCATTTAAAATATTTCAGCGATTTTATTGTAGATGTTATGAAAGATGCGAGAATGTTGATTATTCTTGTAAAAGCGAATGAAAGCAATATAGCAGTATTCATTGTACGATACTATACAAACACTTTGTATATTGTAATTCAGGAATTTGTTAATAAATTGAAGACTTATTTATTCCATTACAATAATTGTTCATTCTTTCGACCAAATGGGTACACCGTTTAAGGTAATTTCAAGAAAATAAGTAATTTTATGTGCTTGGTATATAAATACAAATTCAGTTTTTTTGCACCTGCAAATCATATCAACGTGAATATGATTTTTCCACCATTGTCTGTAGTCATCATCTTGCGATATCCGTGATACAGAAATTCGCATAAAGTCTTGCAAGATTAACAAAAATTAACGTGAAATTTAATAACACCACGGACTTAGGTAATCTAATTCCATGATAACACAAACAATGTGCATAAGTTCTTGGATAATGTTAAAAATGAGGGGGACCTTTCATGCAAAAAATATGATTGCAATAACAAGTATGGTCAATGCATGAGTTTATACAAAATGACCAGTGGAAACAAAGTCAAAGTACTTCAAAAATTAAACTCATTCCACTTATAAAAGGTACTCTGTTATCCTGATGAACATCAACTAAATTAATATTTTCATTGCACGTACTTACACTTATTTCTTCAAATATTTCAGATTAGATCCATTACAAATCTCTCTATATCACAACTATCAAGTCTTCGTGACCACTGTACTTTGTCCAAACTGACCACAGCATGCCAAAATTAAAATCTTTTAGAAATTGACCATACTAAACAAGACAGGTTTGGTTTGGTTTGTTTGTGTTTTACGTCCTATTAACAGCTATGGTCTTTATTTCCGAAGTTGCAATTAGTATGCTCTTCAACTCGGTTTTTAATATATCAGATACGAAGCTTTCTACACGTGTTATTTTAGAGGAATGAATGTGTATACCTTAAGAATTCCCATACCACTGTCAACAAATGTAGATTTGCATTTGAAAACATTTTCCCCAGCATAATCATATTATACACAACGTTACAAAGATTTTGGAGAGGAAATACAGTAAGAGGCAAGTACGAACTAATTGAGTGGAACTCTCTAGAATTTATTCCCCCGGGGTACGAGGATTGTTAATTGATTTACAAGGAAAGGAAAACATATTTTGAGATGTTCTTTGAATTTGTTCGTCTGGGGTTTTGTCTCCGTGCCCAGCTCTACCTTAAACTGAGAACTGTCTATTTTAACATATATAACAGCCATTAAACGAAATACTATAGTACAAACATTAATCATAAAATGATGACCACTTTCAATTGACGAGCAATACGAACAATTATTACCATAAACTTACATTAACACCATAATCCACATACTATATAATTTATTTTACGTATTGACGTAGAGTTTAATAACATTCATCATCATTACATGGTTATGCCCTTTTATTGCAAAAAAATAAGTAACAATGTAATAAATGATGGCCTTAATCATGTCTCATCTTACTTATGTGGATAAGTGTCCGTTAGTTTGTGCCCAGTTTGTCATTTGTGTTACAGTAGTTAGATGTGTGTGTGCTAAATGTTATACATGTCGGGAGTGATCTGGTATACACGACATCATTACCCTGTGATAGTTTCCTTAATCGAGTTCTATGAGGCAAAACTTGGTGGGAATATTTCTGTAAAATATGTGTATGTTCCATTATATTTGATCGTGTTTGCGGTACTTTTCCTGTTATTTATCAAAATCCAGATGATATATCGATGATATTTATTGGTTTCTCTTGTCCATAAGCAAGTTTTTTTTTTGCCTAAAAGATTTTGTATGTTTAACTATCTATTAACAGCTTAGGTCATTTAAGGAAGTGTGGTATGTATGCGTGCTCGTGTGTATGTATGCTGGAGGCGGTTTGATGGTGTATTTGCCTCCTTGCGATTATTTTCCAGTTGTTGCAATTACCATAAACGCTGAACGTTAAGCAGGGAATAACAATTTATATTTATAAGGACTTGTCCCAGCCTCGGGACAGAACCAAGTGTCTACCCCGCTAAGGAGAACATTCAACATGCAGGACAGACCTGGAAAACAATCAGTGGGATACATTGGGCCGTATGTTTGCCCGAACCTGCAGGGATACCTTCCTGGAGACGACCAGAGACACGTTTATCCCCTGAATTATTTTCATCTTCTTTTTAAGAAAAAGAACGATTTTTCCATCAAACTTTAATGATAATCTAATTTAAAATTTGACCAAAGAAAATGTTCATTATTATTTTTATGATCTGCTAAGTAAGTGTGTTATATCTAATCGTTTTGATTTTGTGATTACGAAAATTGATCGATATATCCTGGTATGGCCTTTATACGGCAGCAACTAGCGATGGAAAAAATAGCCCTTTCCTCCGAGGATGGATTCAATTATTGAGGATGGGTGTTTACTAATAAACCCGAGGCTTAGAGAGTATCACATACCATATTATCGATGGATAATAAGAGATGAGCTTTTTCTTTATGAGGTAAAAATAAGTTATTTAATAATAAAAAAGTAAAACAGAGCCGAGATACTATTTGGAATTTCAGAAATTGATTTGTACTCGTAGTTAAATACATATGTGAATGTCAATCATTGTGTGCACCACTTGGAGATGACTTAACCACCAAGTACATGTCATCACACCAAGCTTCTCTTGAATACTTTATATAACATGTTCAAGATCAACGGTCTGTCTTTAAAGTGTGAAACGTCAATACCAGAGAAGGCAAGAACCTCGTTATGTACTTACTGCACTTTGTTGTTCTTTCAAGATTTTGTTTTAAAACCATACATTCCGAAAAGAGGCAGTGTATCTCAAAATGTATTGAATATACAGCGCTTTCCCGATACAACACAGGCGGTAAGACCAAATCTTATGCTTACAGTATGTAACTTTCCATTTCGTGGGATCGTCAAAATGTTTGTTTCTTGGTAGCTTGCAGGGAATGCTGTCACATTCGCCATAACAAAGGCGAATTGAAATTGTAAAGGGCAAAATGGTATTTCTTGGGAAGGTAAATCAATCTTCTCAGTATATTCTTTAAAATTCTACTCAATAAATCAAATGATGGAAGGATGTTCAGAATGAAATAATTTGTAGGGGCCGAAAAGGCGTCCGATACGTTTGTTCTTATCTTCATGAGAATACAGAGAGGTTGACCAATGCAAACTGTCATTACAAGACGTATGTGGTACAATTCTCAATCACTATTTAACCAATCATCAAAGAAGACCGATCACGTGATTTTAGTGTATGACACCCGGTATAGGAGGAAAACAAGCATAGTGCTTGTATTCTAATGTCATTCGCTAACTGTTCTTATATTCTTTGTTCACCGCAATTAAACTTTTCTATTCTTTATAATTGTTAATACCTATACAATATACAAAGACATGAATTATACTATCATACAATATGTTTAACCTTCATTATTTTCACGTTTAACATTGCATACAGATTAGGAATGTTGAATCGGTCACGGTAATTTTGGTTTTCTATTGTATATAGTCATGCTGTGGTTGTCGGCCATGTGGTTCGATCTTATTTGCTTCAATTTTTTTAAATATAATATTAACCAACAATGTATATATATAAACTACTGCAATTTTATACATCGATAATGTATACCCACTCGAAACCTAGTTTGAATAAACTAACAAAAAAACGACAGCATTACTTTTCATATTTTTATTTCTGGTAAGAAATTCATTTCTAGGACAAAGCTACTTCTAACTGATGTGCTAACTTACCATCAACAAAACGCCTGCTTCCTTATTACGTGAATATCTATATGATCAACAATGTAGAGAGGTTTCGTTACTTGAAAGTCCATCAAGCGTTACCACATTTTTTACCCTTAAACTTTCTCAACTTCAGCATTCTATAGTTTCAACATTCCATTGGTTTCTGCAATTTATTCTTTTAAGATGTGATTTCTTTACTTAATTATAATTATAAGCCATATGCTATCTAGATACCTTCTTAAGTAAAAACAACTTTACACAATTATAAATGGAAATTAGAATGTGACAGAACTGCTATCAAAATAACGAAAAAAAACAAGCGCAAAACTACCCAGGGTAGAAACCGTGTACACATTTTCTTAAACTTTGGTCAAGAATGGTAGTAGTGCAAGTTTTTAAGCAGGAAAACCAGAAAATGCGCATATAGCACCAAGAGAAATAGTGGAAATCCAAAATAAATTGAAAGTTCACAACTATCATTGTATGACTTTTGTTTATCGTATTATTTTCGAGCTATTTAAACAGTTGCAAATGTGATTTTATTATAGACCTGGTGAATCTTACTTCAGAGATACAAGTGTTCAGGCCATTCAATACAAGGTTCTGTATTTCAAAATGTGATTAAAAAAATGTTATATTGCCACAGTAGCCGAATTCCTTATTTTAGGGAATTCCTTATTTTAGGGAAACAAATTGATTATTAATATTAGGAAATGAGTAGCAACGTTTTGCAGAAAAAATATAATATGCATATACAGAAGTGTAAACAATACTATACAAGTGTTCTGATGTCTTACACTGCCGTCCTTTATTGCGCGGATATCTTTCACTCGGGATAAAGCCCTCGTGAAATGAAGAACCCATACGCACAATACACGAGCATTGTACAGTCTGAGATATCAGATGAAACATGTATTCGTGGTATTTCATCAAGATTTAAACATTCTATAATAATTCCTATGCTATCCTATCTACTTGTATGTAACTTTACAGCATACCAGCAGTGGCAAGAAAATCATTATTTAACTTGTTAATGTATTAGAAGATACGACGAACTAACCTAAATCGTATCCAAATTATAACTAACACAGTCCGTCAACATCTATTACATTTTGTAATTTCGTAGAGAATGTAGGTCGATTATTGCTCGAGCTTTTCATATACGTATTAAATAATACTTCTTTATTTCAATGTTTACATTTCTTTACAGGGTTTATCACTATTTCTGTTTTTTTCAAATTTGAGTATCAATTGTATAGCTACACATAACATAAAACGGAAGATAGCAGAATTCACATACGTAAAATAAAGTTGACGTCATGCATGATTTACGCTCTGACCACGAATTTAATGAAACTGTCACTCTATTACAATATTTCCCCGACGACTGATCGGGCTTATAAGTATGCCTTCAACATTATACTTTTGAACTACGAGTTCAGGTCTTACAAAATATATAAAATGTTACAATGATGGAGGGAGTATTTAAGACAGCCAATTAAACATATCTTATCAGGTAACAATGCAATACAACAAAACAACACCTTGTATCCGAATATCACAAGCGTAAATCAAAGCAAAACCAAGGCACACTTGGTGGTTGAGTTACCAACTGTCCTAGCTACATTATCTATCTCCTGGGATCTACACTCCCGATGTACACAGAGAAGTTCACTGTATCCCCTGGGATCTACACTCCCGATGTACACAGAGACGTTTACTGTATGATCACACACGGTTTTGATGGGGATACAAAAACTCATGGTTGCTAATGTAAGGTACATGTACAAATAATGCAGTGCAATGTGTAATTTTGACGTTGGATTTTAAAATTTAGGAAGTGCCATTAAATAAATAGAAGATTTGCTCGATGTTCAAAACGATATCAAATTTAAAGAATAGTTACAATAATTAAGTGTTAAATTATTGTCTATATTGTATTTAGAAGCTACACCGCTAAGTGTTATATTCCATATTGTTATCACAATATACATGTACTTAAACATATGCAAAGAAAAGTCTTAGGAAAATACTAGAAGTATTTGATACACTCTCCACTGCAACAAACATTAGCAAAATGAATTGAAACAAATGTTTTTTGCGCTCTCCAGTAAATAACAGACAAAGAGTTCGCAAATATTAAACAATGACGCAAGCTTAATAGACTGCAATACTGAATGATGTGACAGTGCCCTCAATAAGTGGACGGTAGTACTTGTAAATCGCACATAAACAAAATGCATTACAATACTAGGTATCAGCTGAACAACTTTTCTAGCTTGTACAATGTCAATTCATCCGCATGATGAGAGATAAGCACCTCTATTGTAGATATATATTTGTGAAATATGATAGGCCGTGTAAGCTGTCAATGTGACTTCATCGTTAGTAAAAATGAACTATGCTAAATTTCGGAGCAGAATACATGCCATCTAACATGTAACCCTCTCATCTTTTCCATGTTTACTTTGCATGTACAAGTCTTGTTGGTTTGCGTAGTTTTTAATGACTAGACCAATGCATGTATGTCGATAATAACTTAAACCTTAATATTAGTATGTCAAACAATGATTGGTACAATACCTATAAACTTGGTTAAAACCAAACTACAAAGTACACCAGTGGTTTCTCTTAATTAATATTATCACAGATAAGCTCCATACCCCCTTATCAATTCTAAATTTCTAAAAAATTGTGCAAGTAGATGCTGATATCGAACAAAACAGAATTTGTTGTGGGTGTTTTAAATACTGGACGGTTATTCGTATATTCTATTATTACAAAGAAATTAAAAGATCGGTTTATATGAAGAGTTACATTCTATGTGTAATTGAATTACGTGAATTGTCACAGGTATAAAAATAACGTAGGGAAAAGGTAAAACTAAAGATCAACAGTAAACTTTAGCACTAACATACAAAGATAAAAGAAAAATTCTTTGATAAAACAAGAATGCATGATCTCAAACACACGAATATCACAGTGGCTTAAATTTGAAACAAAAATGGCGTTTTCAAAGACTTCAGCATAAATTACCAATCACACACAAACACACACACTCACTCCCTCCCACAATAGACATGTATCTGTTTATGAACAGAACGTTCAGCGTTTCATGGCTGAACCTATATGGCCTCTACAAAAAATGTTGTGAATATGCAAATATACGCTCAGCATGTCCACAGCATACCAGCCAGGAACGTAAAGACAGTAATTTAAAATATGTATTCATGTAAACATAAGATTCTCTGTAAAAGGGAACATAAATAATTGAAACCACACTATAAATAGCATCATACTTAACTGTAAATACACATTTTAGAACACGACATTGTTAAAACGTATTATTCATTATCTGGTACCAATAATACCCTGTTGCTATGCTATTTTCTCTCTGTCCTGGTAATTTCGAGATCCGTCTTATAAAAGGTAATGAGTCGCTTAAGTGTCACACTTCTTCAAATCAATCAAATCCAAATGAATTTAAACTTATTTTTCTAACATAATTAAATCAAAAATCGTTTTGTTTAATTTTCATTTTTTATAGTGTTATTTTCATTGATAACTAGTGTGTACTTCTACCTAGTTTCGCATTATTTTGACACGATGAAAATTTTGTAAATAAGTTTGCCTGGTTATCAATACACATAAAACGTATCTTGAATTTTGAATTTACACTGTATGATATTGATTTGAAAAGCACGAATAATTGATGACAATAAACAAATATACAAATATGAACACACATCACAAAAGTCGATTATTATAACATTCTCGCAGCAACTCAGTACATATTTATAATTCATTGTACAACACAACCTAATATGTACAATTTACCCTAGAGAGATCGATAACATCAGGCTAGTGACAGTGACAACATTTTTGTAGCTACTATCATTATAGTAGACACCATATGTGCTGTACATCAACTGTAGTCTAGGTTTAAAATATCAAATTATGTAACTCGTTCAGAGTAGGCGACCCTATTCGTGTGATGTCTAAGAACAATGTATTATCAATCCATGATGTTCCTCTATCAAGACATTTGAGTACCGCGATATTCCGTCTTTGCGTATTGCAGAGCTATCTTCTCTTATGAGCAGGTATTGATTGTTACGTCATTTGTTTGTGAGAGTAACATCATCAATTTTTGAGAAAACGACGTAATTTTCTCACACAAACCAATGACGTAACAATCAATACCTGCTCCCAAGAGAAGATAACTCTGCAATACGCAAAGACGGAATAAATCCATCACTAAGATCAACAGAAAGATTGCGTTGGTCATCTACAACTTCCATACGGGGTGTACTCTATACAGTAGGACACTTTCTTAGAACGGAGAGCTATGTCCGAGTGATGGCGATACACCTGCATTCCCAAATTAGGAAATCGATCAGCCAGGAGTTGTTCCTCTATAGGTGAAGGGAGGGGGAAATTTGTCTTCTCTTTCGGCCGCGACACAAGCATGTAGCGACTGCAACAAATGAATGGAAGCGTACAGAATTATATATGTCGATGCCAATTTATTACGTTATAACAGTTTATGTCTAATATTAAAAACATTTTTTTAAAACAATACAATTCAACTGTCAGGTCAATATTTCTGTAAACCATTTAATATTACTAATACTCAAACTGAGGAAAAACACGAGAATATCAACAATTTAAATGAGCATCGCTATTGTTAGGTGTGTCTTACTGCACTTTACATGTACATACTATCTTGAACTTAATGAGAACGGTTTTACATTCACACAGCTCTGCATTCGTTGGGTACGGACATAGTAGTATTTGGTCTGAGCTTAACATGCAACTGCTAAGTATGGACAAATTTGTGATTTGTCTGCACTAGCTGTATCTACAAGTGGTTGGTCTGCACTTGCTGGATCAGAATCAGCTAGTGGATGGTCTGTACTTGGTGAGTATGAACTTACCAAGTAACACCTGCTCTATACTGATCTACAAGTGATTCGTCTGTCTCTTCTTGTACTTGCTGTAAATAGCTCTTTTAGTTTATTATGTTTAAACTAACTTTCACTTGCTACAGGTGTAGGTATACTGATTTACCAGTGATTCGTTTGTACTCACTTGCACTTGCTGGGTATGGACCTACTAGTGGCTGGTCTGTATGTCCTGGTAGGGTTCCGAGGGTCTATCATATTCGGTTCCACATTGAAGTCGACCATGGATCGCCTCGGTGTTTGTTTTCTTGATGGAGGCCCACCTTTTCCCAATGCAAATCTACGGAGAACACAATTATGTTTGTTTTCTTTATTGCCTTTTAACCTCAAATAAAATATCGTCATAAGTTGACAATTTCAGGAGTTAGTTTGCAATTCAAGAGTAAAGATATGAGTTTTGATAAAAAAAAAAACACCCAGAATTTATAAATAGAAGTCCTCTGATCGTATCTACATGTATCCATTAAGTCAATTAACATCCTTTTCATATATATTATAATATCAAAAAGAATATACAGCCCAGTTACCTCACTTTCAAATATACTTTAATACCCAAAAGAAAATTTAGCCTAATAACCTCCCTTTCATATACTGTAATACCCAAAAGAAAATATAGCCTAATTATACTATAATATCCAAAAGAAAATTTAGCCCAATAACCTCCCTTTCATATACTATAAATTTAGCCCAATAACCTCCATTTCATATACTATAATACCCAAAAGAAAATATAGCCTAATAACCTCCCTTTCATATACTTTAACACTTTTCATGTGTGATTATTTAGTGTTGTTTTGCATTCCTCATCCGTTCTCATATATAGTACATGGATTTAATTACCCTTTAATTAAAAGATCATGTACCTATTGATATATCAACAATACATGCATATGTAACGAGTTTGACACAGATTTTGGATTTGTACAACGATGTATATAGTATGTGTATTTTTGAACTCACCTGAACGGTTTCTCTGTTTTGAGTTCGGACTTGTTGACGGTTGTTGGTGGAACGGGTAGGGGTATGAATGCAGTGTGAGGCCGCTGTGGAAGAGACCGAGAAGGAGGGGGATTGTACCGTGGTGGGCCTGGCGTATGCATTCCAAGGGAGGACAGTCTCCCTAACTCTCGATCAGTGGCAACAGCCCATCTATCTGACCGAGCAGTTGTTGACCCTACAAATCAATCAGTAAATATTAATATATATATTTGCAATCGACTTAAATATTGCATTAATTTAAAACTTCTCATACAAAGGATTTTAATTTTGAATTGATATCCTTCACGTGTCAAAATATATTGTAACATAACAATGAAGGACAAATTAAAGCTACACATTTATTTCTGCTGGTACAAACGACTACTCCTCTACATAAGGAGACAAACCGGGATGCCCTGGTTCCTGTGTGACGTCATCTATTATGACTTCACGGTTGGATAATGTCCTCTGAGATCCTCCTCTCTGGGACTCCCATGCCTGGCGTTTCTGGGCAGCACTCTTCAGGCGTAACTCCTTCTGCATTCTCAGCAGCATATGTCTGTAACAAAATAGTGTATTGGTCATCAGTGACAAGGTACATGTAGCGACGTGTTTATCTACATGGACGCTAGATGGTAACGATATGCGTAAGGTAAACGTCAAAAGAACTTTTATCAATTATCACACACTTATAAATTTGACATAATTTTGTTCTTATTGTAATTATAATTTTTTGATTGAATAACTGATTTTAACTAATAACAAGAGGCCCAGGGGCCTTAATAGTTCACCTGGTATTTTATTTTTCAATTTAAAACCTGCTGAGTACCATTCAGGTTTATCAAAGGAGTACAAGTAACAAAGTTGCATCTTCCATTTATAAATATTCAATTACCTTTGCCCAAAGATTCTCTAAAACAAGTTTGGTTAGGTTAAAATTCCTTCAAAGGTACAGAAGGAGAAGGATCTTTAATGTTTTTCTATATTTCCCCTAATGGGCCCCACTAATCTGCCCCAAAGAAGGGGAATCCACACACCTCAGTTTAAACAAAATTGATTCTTTTGTCCCTAAGCATGCTTCAGACTACATTTGGGTAAAATCCCTTCACTTGTATAGTAGGAGAAAAAAAATCCTCTACTTCCCCTATTGGGCCCCGCTCCTATGCCGCCAGAAGGCCCACACCCTCCGTTTATACAAACTTGAGTCTCCTTTGTCCAAAGATGCTCTAGGACAAATTTGGTCAAAATCCTTCAATTGGTTGAGGAGAAGATTTTTAAAGATTTACCTATTTTCCCCTATTTGGCCCCGTCCCTCTGCCCCCAGGGGGACCATACCCTCCGTTCATACAAAACTGAGAACCCTTTGGCCAATGATGCTCCAGACCAAATTTGGTCAAAATCCCTTCATCGGTACAAAAGGAGAAGGATATTTGATGTTTTCCTCTATTTCCCCTAATGGGCCCCACCCATCTGCCCTTAGAAGGAGGCCCACACACCTCAGTTTATACAAAATTGATTCTTTTGTCCCTAATCATGCTTCAGACTGCATTTGGTTAAAATCCCTTCACTTGTATAGCAGGAGAAAAAAAATCCTCTATTTCCCCTATTGGGCCCCGCCCCTCCGCCCCCAGAGGGGCCACACCCTCCGTTTATACAAACTTGAGTCTTCTTTGTCCAAAGATGCTCTAGGACAAATTTGGTCAAAATCCTTCAATTGGTTGAGAAGAAGAACATTTTTAAAGATTTACCTTTTTTCCCCTTATTTAGCCCCGCCCCTCTGCCCCGAGGGGGGGCTATACCGTCCGTTTATACAAAACTGAGAACCCTTTGGCCAATGATGCTCCTGACCAAGCTTCAGACTGCATTTGGTTTAAATCCCTTCACTTGTATAGTAGGAGAGAAAAAATCCTCTACTTCCCCTATTTGGCCCCGCCCCTCTGCCCCCAAAGAGGCCACACCCTCCGTTTATACAAACTTGAGTCTCCTTTGTCCAAAGATGCTCTAGGACAAATTTGGTCAAAATCCTTCTATTGGTTGAGAAGAAGAAGATTTTTAAAGATTTACCTATTTTCCCCCTATTTGGCCCCGCCCCTCTGCCCCCAGGGGGGTTATACCCTCCGTTTATACAAAACTGAGAACCCTTTGGCCAATGATGCTCCTGACCAAATTTGGTCAAAATCCTCTGAGCCATTCAGGACAAGTAGCATTTTAAAGGAAAAAGTTGACGGACGCCGGACGCCGGACGCCGCACCATGGGATAAGCTCACTTGGCCCTTCGGGCCAGGTGAGCTAAAAAAGAAATTCAACATTATAAATATTGTATTTAGTTCCAATTACGATTATTATTACAATGGTTTCATTGTATAAAAATTTATCAATATTAAGATGATGGATGTAATAGCTACCTATTGCTGAAATGTTAACACTACAGTAGTTTTGTGTCAGCTGATCATGAAGTCATAAATCACACGATTACACTAGCTTATATGAAGACATGGGAACATTTTGTAAGTAAACCTTTCATCAATGTGTAATCTCCTTATTCTGTTGCAACAGCTAATCACTCAGAAAAAGTTAATATAATTCTTTCTTATATCGTAAGTCATTCAGAAATAAATAAATAAATCGATTCGCATGCATAAAACATGACATCAACTATTTGACATGCACACACCTTCTTAACATTGTGAGGACAATACAAACTATTTAGAGCTATAATCGTCTTAAAATACATGTTATATAAGCATCTTAAGAATCAATTGGGGATTCTTCTACATTTATAAACTCTGATGTCTAGATTTGTTTATATATTCCGTCGCTGTATTGATAGTGAACTACATATTTGTTGTTTCTAGGTTAAAAATATATCAATTTTGTGAGTAACGGCCACTAATCGATATGTACAAAATCTATTATTATATAGATTATAATTTATATATGTACATTTAGGTTGTCTACCGTAATGATAGTACATCTCGTTTATATAGCTTTTCTGTTGTAATGATAACAATTGATATGGTAAATGTCTGATATCCAAAAGGATAATTTCCCATTGAGGTATTGAAATGGTGTGGTATGGAGGTCAGTGTTAGTCTGAACACTACGTGAACGGCGGTAAATCACAAAGAGAGGAAGTGTGATCCCCGGTTGTATAATGTACCAGCATCTTGAACAGCACTTACTCATGTAATGCTATTGATTTTACACCATTGAGTACCAGACGTAATTGATATTTCGTCCAAAGTTCTTATCTGTACAAGGTAAGGAGAACAACACACCTAACATGAAAGGCGGGCGGGTTATTGATTGAAACTGTTCAAACTCTCACAACAATTGTTTCCTGCCTCCATGGATACCTGGACACTCAATCAATTGATTGAGATTCCAAGTAACCGCATGTTCAGTAATTGGCTCATCAACAATTTAGAAATATCTTGTTTGACACTCTACCGACACATGTGAGGTGTTCTTTTCTTCCAGTGTTTGTTAGCATGACAATTGTTAGATCTTCACGATTTCATGCGTCAAATGGCTCAGTATGTACATGATATTGCCGCTTATCACGGTTGTTTTATTCAACCAAATATAGAGCAGAGGGAAGAGGATAAATATTTCAGTATTCTGTCACATTCCTGACACATACATGGTATTCAACGGGAAACCATTGGACATCCTCTGTAGATACATTGCTGAAGAAATACACAGCAATTTTATATACAGTGGCATTCCTCATATATATATATATATATATCATGGCTACATTGCATGGAAATGCGGAAACAATAACCTTTCCATATGACTGTGCAATAAATTTTATTTTTGAGATAACTGAAGTATGTGGTAGGATCTATTAGTTTGCTCATTTAATTTACTCATCCTCATTTCATTGTATTTCCTTTAACATATTTTCATTATTTATAACTTCATTACTGTGCCGCATTTATGTCTTACATACACAGCAAGTTTGCTACAGCAGACGCACGATATTAGTAATCTTTGAGCAAAGCTGATTAGAAAAATGTCAAAATTATTTCTCTCCTACATGTGAATTAATATATTGTCAGTAGTTAGATACACCAAAATCGTATTTTACCAGTAATATTATTTAAAATCGTGATACATTTTGTTATCTAATTCAAAACAACTTTTCTTGCGTAGGTTCCTTTACATATCATTTATTCAATCGTACCAGTTTCCCCTTGACTTCCAAACTTTGTACCCTTGACCTACCTCTCAATAGCCCTCTCGTGATAGTTGCCCTCAAAGTTCGTACTGTCGTTCCTGTAAAGCCTGTCTTTCGTCAGAGTTGCCGGTGTTCTGTAAAAAAAAAAAAAACAACAACATGCCACTTAAATGCATGGGTTACTTTTATCTTCACCTACCGATTCCTTATCCACCACCACCTTTATCAGTTATAGAACACTTACCCTAATTTACATTTATTAGATAATGCATGCCTGAAGAAATAACGTTAATATTACAGGTATCTTTACAGACAATAGATCTTCATCAATGCTGATGAACAATTAGTCTGCGAAAGCAACTTAAACAACGAAGGTGATTTATCGAAATGGTTCATTTTACTCTGATAACCTTATAGAGGCTCATCAATTCCCAATTTTGTTAACTATTCTACACGTTTAGATATAAATCTGGCTTTCTGCCGGCTTTGTTTGCAATTTTAGCATTTAGCATCACTAAGCACCGTTTACGAAACATATGTATCCGAAACACTGCAGTATCTATCATTTAACTTTACACAAACAGTGCACCCTCTACCAAACTGGTGTGGCATTGTAAAACATCTAGGTTTGCATCAGTTAAAACTCTTGGTAAGAATTATTAATATGTAAATGAAAATATATTAAATTGTTTCTTATTTAAAGTTAGGGGGCAGAACTGACTTGTCTACAAAGCTCTTGGAACATGGTTTAATGTTTCACGTTCTAATCTTATTCTTAAACGGCTGAAGAAAGACATATTTTCGTAACATATAATGGATTTACCATTCGTATAAAATTCAAAGAGAATACATTTTACTTCTATTTATAGTTCAACGTTTGTTTGGACTTACCCAGGCATGCCCTGGTACCGGTCAAAGGCGTCATCAAATGCATTCTGCAGGTCCTGGGAGGGAAAAGGGTACATTTAAATAATACAAATGACAATGTGGGTTTGTAAATCATTTTTTGTAAAAAAGAAAATTTTCCGATGACGGAAAGCTATCATTAGGAAATAACCGATCAGATTTTCTAAATGATTACAGTGCTTTGTTTCTTTGTATTATCGTTGTTACTTTTTGAAGTTATCATGCATCTTACGATGACTACAATTTAATCGTTACAGGAAAACTTACTTAAAACCAAACCTTCAAAAAGGTGAAACTTTAAAATGCTGCAACTACATTTTGTGTACTTACGCTAGAACAACTAATACAAAGGCCTTAAACATCCCATCTAGTTACATATTATATACAGAAACAAGAGGCCAACATTAATAGGTCAATCGACCTTCAGTCATTGGTGACTTAATGAGTCGTTTGAGATCGAGACCAATGGAACGTAAGGAGTATGATATGAACATGCTACTGACACGTTTAGTTTGTTAAAATTTCCAATAACTGTGGTATCATTAAAGCGTTTAAACATCCACGCATAAAAATGTACTTGAGTAAGGCCCTAATATAGCGAACAAAGATAAAATAAGAAATCTATTAAGCCCTCCCCCAAACTTTGAATCACACCTCTAAACCCTTTGAAGATGGGGGATATTTCTATAGTATATCTATTCAAGCAGCAAAGGGTATGGCTTTAACAAACTGCAATATAAGTGACCCATGATAAGTGCAGGTTATAGGTTTTCAGCACCTCGAGAACATTTCAAAGAACATGCAAAGTTATCCGACTTTCCATCCCACACGTCAACCTTCTTGACAATCAGAGGCCTTAAATTCAGATTCCTTCTTTTCAACTGTGGTCCTTGCCAATTATGAACCAAATCTGATAATATTTAAGGGAGAAAAAGTCTATTACGCTTACTATTTACCTACAATTATAGTTAACTAAGATCCCATCCTGGTGCCAAAAGAGGACCTAAAGGACCCAGCATAAACATACCTAATCATTACTTCCTAAATAAATCTACAAGCACATTTCGACATGATATTACTCATAATAATCTAGAAACATTTTTTTTTAAATATCTGAAAGTGAGGTACCGGGTCATCATAGTCCTTATTGTGACATTTGGTCCTCTCCCCTCAAAGCTGGTCCATGCCAAGCTCGATAGAATTGTGAAGAGTGTTTTACAAGAAGTTGCAAGGGTGAAAATGTGTACAAAAGACGGATGCTGTGCAACCCTATAGACTACTATGGCCCGCAATATCAGGTGAGATAATGATTTAGTGCTTTGAACTCGATTCATCTTGGTGAATCATTTTCATGCAGTGAACAAACAATTTGCTAAATTAGGCAGCACTCAAACATGGAGGTACCATTCGATTTATAATCATTATATAAAAGAGCAATTCATGCTTAGGTTTTACTTTTTCCATTAATATAAAAACCGTAGTGTGTATGATCAATAAAATGAACTATGCAGAATAACAATTAATGGGACCAATATAAAACAATTTCGATTACAATTTTTAGAAACTCCTGGAGGCAGCTGATTACACAAATCCTTCGCAGTTGAAAAAAATCATCAAACAGATTCCTGCCTATAAACTTTTTGTTCCCTTTAAAAGGCTTCAATTATTTCCTTTGTATCACAAATTCATTATGTAAAAACAAACTGTTGCACGTCATGTGGTTCATGTTGGTACACAAGTCATTACGTATATTTGTTGAAAAAAAAACATTAGCAGAGAAAGACATGACAAACACACGGCACATAGCTCTTAATCCAAAGGCAAATAAAATACCAAAGCTAAATAAAAATCAAACACACGCAAGATATCAGGTAAAAAATTAAATGCAATCTTTTGATACTGTCAGTCAAATATGGCTTTACAAGAGGCGATTACGGGTAGGCCTTAAATGTCAATGTGTTAGCATTCATGTACAAAATAGGACATGGACACCTGCAGAGATAAGGACTCGGGTCGGAGTGCACTTTAGTTCTCACATATTTTAACTAGGAGACTGTCATAACTGACGGCGTCCTTACCTTTATCATATATTCATAAATAAATCTGTTTGATAAAGAAGTCGTCGTGATTTTCATTTATGCTGCTTTAAAAGTACTTATAAAGCTATAAATCATAAATAGTCTTCGAGATAAAAGGACAGCCCTTTTTCACGCAGGATATTAAATTTCTCTCACATGTAAGACCTAGGAGATGGTGTCTGGGTTTATTGGCTCCCTAAACAGGTCATATTTATAGCACATATTACAAAAAGTTGATCAAGTCTGATCATCGGCTTTCCAAACAAATTAATTTCTTCAAACAAACCAAGGTAGTTTAATCTTCTTATATTGTGCCTATGATATCATTAATTTCAATTAAGATTCGGGGCCTAAAGGTATGAAAGTCTGAAGTTGGGCTAACATTTGATCAGCGGTTTTGTTACACACTTAGAATATGGTTAAGTATAAGTAAGGAAGTATAATTAAAGTATAACATTGTATGTTTAAAATAAATGGATGTGTTTAAAGAACAAGAAAAAAAAAGGAAAAATATTGAAACAGAAAGATGAGATGAGGACAAAACGACATTTTTATCAAACACATGAAAGCACTCAACCAAATATGAATCAGACAATATTTGTATAATATGTTAAATGAGTACCTAAAATTGTTTACATTCACAATACCATGCATAAATACATGTACAAACATTCCATAGAAGCACACAACATTTAAATAATTCAAAATTAGTATGTATTGCTGTCATCTCGACCAGGCAAAAATAAAGATTCAAAAAGCAGATAGCGTTCTACCATTATGTTAGACCGTGATTAACACCGTCGCTGAGCACACATTCAGCACACATTACTTACGTCAATGTTGTCAGGAATTTCTAGTATAAGCTCCAACTGTGAGTCGGATAGTTACATTGTAAATCTCTAGTACAAGCTCTACCAGTTATAGTTACATTGTAAATCTCTAGTAAGATCTGTAACTGTTATAGTTACATTGTAAATCTCTAGTACGATATGTAACTGTTATAGTTACATTGTAAATCTCTAGTACGATATATATGTAACTGTTATAGTTACATTGTAAATCTCTAGTACGATATGTAACTGTTATAGTCACATTGTATATATCTAGTACGATATGTAACTGTTATAGTTACATTGTAATTCTCTAGTACGATATGTAACTGTTATAGTCACATTGTATATACCTAGTACGATTTGTAACTGTTATAGTTACATTGTAAATATATGTTAAAGTAACACTGTAAATTTAGTGTAAACCTGGAAATTACACTAATTCATACATTTCTAGGACAGGGCTCAAAATTGGATGGTGTGTCCGACATTTGGATACAACTTGTCTTAAAGTGTAAAATATATATGTAGGTAGGACAGTTGCATTGTCATAACGTTTCTATGTATATCAATTAGCTATATTGTATGACACGATATGTATGGAGGGAAAGGTAACGTAGTTTTTCAAACTATTGTACCGTTGTTTACAGATGGTAACATTGTTTATGTTACATGGTTAATACACCTTGTGTTGATTGGTTATACATGTTTGGTTTCTGTAAATTTTACATTTCTATATTCCAATCAAATTACATTTTGTGTTTGATGGTTATTAAAAGTTACAATATAAAGCTATCGTTCAGGGAGCATGTGCGAGTCATGCATTAATGTTGCGTTAATATGTTATTATCAAAGTGTGTAGATTTCAAACATGTAGCAAGTTTCGAGCAAACGATCTATTAGTGTAAGTTGCAATTTAAAAAAAAAAACATTTCCTGTATTTTTTCTGCATTATGTTATTCCCATACGTGAAATTAACTCCCTAGCCAAGGCACTCTTGAGTCTTTGCCTGTCAATGCATGTTAACGACAGGATTATTGACTTCATAATTGCAGATGTATATTGTTGTTTTGTTTCCTCCGAGCCTATAGACTGATAATACAAAACTATCATTTTTCGATCAAGCAAAATCAAAACCTTAGAATGTTAAAAGCTAACATCACTAAGAATGTACATGTCAAGTAAAGTCACATGCACTCAAAGTACTATACGTTTAAAACAGAGAGTAGATATCATTGGAAACGTAGTGTAGTATGTCAAGTTTACATATGTGCTGTACAACAGAGTGAGGATATAAACACATATGTGCTGTTGTGTAATGTACGTGTGTATTACTTACATTGATATCCTTAGGGAGCTCTATGACAAGTTCCAGTTGTGTATTTGATAAAGACACCATTTTAGGATTAGTTATCAGGTCACTTATCACAAACACGTATCCTCTCCGGTATCCCTAAGGTTAATAATTATATACACTAGACCTAGATTTCTACCAAGGAATATGTTCATCTATCAAATCGGTACACTAGATTTTCTTCCCAAATATCGCTCCAGGTATCAAAGTCAAGTCACAAATTACGCAAGGTATCCTTCCATCCAGGTAATTTTTTCACATATTTTCATCATAATAATTGAAATTTCGTGAAACTGACAGTCTTATAGTTACGAACTTAAATCCATCCGGCCATGATATATGGATCATAAGGTGCTATCCATTTTGACCGTTGAACATCATTTTAATAAGGTCAACATAGCGACAGTTAAATGCAGGTATACTTTATGAGTCCATCATTCTATACACTTTCAATACGTCAATGGATAACCTTGTTTCCGACCCGTTGCTGTCTTTTCAATTTTGTCAGCCCAGAATAGATTGTATTAGAAATATTCTTCGGTCGGCTGTAAAGCCTACAAGGTATCGCTTCGTTGTTTACTTATCAGAAATACCTCAATCTTCTAAGGGTACAATATATAATACAAACCACAAGCCCTCGGAAATTAAAATGTCTCTATCACAAATCAGTGATAAATTATCCATTCTCACGGTCGTTTATTCAGGTGAAACTTTGAGGCAGAAACATCCACACAATCTGCAACGAGCTGTCGATCCATCCTGTTGTATTGACTCCACATACGATAGGTGTACCCTGCCTTCTCATTAAACCCACGTTTCAATCCAATTGAAACAGAATTGATTCCATTCGCACTTTAAAGTATTTGACAAATAGCAGGTCACATGAGAACGTAGGAAATGTAGTTTCTATTGAAGAAATGAATACATCTGAATTATTTATTAGGTATTCTGCCACTCAACAGAAGCACAGTGGTGTTCTTGTCTTGTTGATTCTGTCAGGCTCGCGGACAAAACAGCCACCAGATCATATTTATCTTGGTTAGAAAACAGACTTCCTATCCACAATGTATACAACGAAGTCTGTTTCCGACTCACTGGTTCAAACTCTCTGTGTCTAAGTATACGTGTTGAAGGCAACATACTAATAATCCATATTAACATTTCTTGCCGTGTACATACAACTCCTGGGCCATGGTACCGCATAGCAATATCCCAGCTTAGAACATTACATAAGCCGTCTGTGACGACATGTCCTTTCTGGAACCTACACTCCCTACTCATAAATGTAATGTGGACGACACAAGTGGTGCAGACCTGTGCAAACGATTCCAGCTTTATCCACTTCACAGTGGGGGATGAATTAAATCTTCATAAGAAAAGGGTAAATAGATTACAAAGTTAGCTTAAGTTGTTGAAATAGTACGGTAGAGGGCGTTATATTTCAGTTTTCCACTGCTAGGATTATAAGGACATGTTACAATAGTGAACTGTATCAGACTTCAATGACTCATCCCACTAAATCGACTCCCGTGGTACCAGTTAAACAGAGTTAGGTCTCTGTGACATTCAAAACCTATTTGAGTGACATATTAATACTTTTGTTCAACAAGCTACTTAATCTGTCCTTCATAACGCCATTTAATTTTTCTCCCCTTTAGCAGCATAATGACCTATGCTGTAATGTTAATCTGGACACACCGTGGCCGTGTTGAAGTGATCGGCTGTATGTACTACCAACGTACTAAGAAGTTTAAACAGAAATCCAAGTTTCAAACCAAACTGGTGTTATGGATTATTATTTCATTGTAATGCCATGCTATTATATCGTTAAGAAAATAAGGTATATTGGTTTTATGGTGTATTGAGTGAATAATCAATCTTCATAACAGGGACAAAGGACAGGATTTACACAGTATTAAAGTGACCGGTCAGATGATTCGCCAGGTGTATTATCCTTCACGGTCAGCTTGGTCAATCATATTGACAGTCCCTGGTGTTGGTCAAATAAACATATACCAACCTGATGAATAAACTCTTAATTACGTGCGTGTTATGTTTTCTTATGATATAAAGGCTATTATTAGTCCATAAATTACTAGCGAAATAGCAAATCAACGGTATTTACCAGATAAAGGACTTTACAATTTACTCATCACAGTGGTCAGGTAGATTCATTCACAAAATGATCAGAGACGTGTTTTAAGTTTTCAAATAATTACAATTCACTATTTGTTCAAGAAGTTTAGGTAATATAATGATTTTCAAAATGGTTGTAAAGTAAGGCATAAAAAGGGCAGCGTGAACCCCACAAAATATACAAACAGATGGTCCAGAAGGATAAGAGTTCCTGCTCCACGTGTGACACCTATCAATGTTTTGTCAAATCTAAGAAAGTGTGAAGGTCATCATGAATCTTGGACACCTTACAGAACAATGGAATGTCATAGTAATTTCTTGGTAACCAGGTCATGGCTACACCAGTAACATTTCTGTCAAAAAGGTTCTTTCTACTTCGTTTATATATTGATTACATATGTTTTGGAAAAGCTTTTTGACCTTAAGTAACACTGATGATTTTTTAAATTGACGAAATGACCATATGCTGCAGTACAAACTTTTACCTTTGAACTTTGCAACGACTTCCTGATTTTTTTAAATTCGTTTGCTTTCTCTGTACATCTAGTGATTATATTGTTTTTACTAGTTATATAAGCCTCTTCGGTATAGTATAGTATGGGCAAACTTGTCTAATCTGTCGTCCGATCATGATAGCACGCACAGAAAAAAGAGACATTGCTACATGCTACTGGCCAAACAAATAGTGAGCAATCCTGCACTACAAGTCGTCACGTCAGTCTCAGAGTGTGGTAGTAAGGGAATTGTCATAATGGACGTTTATAATGTAAAGATAAGAAGCTAAAGCAGGTAAATCTATGTCGATTCTGATTGTATTCTCTGGAAGGTAGAGGTGATACGAGAGGTTCATGTAATTCTTGTTTTTCAAGCACAAAAAGTCATTAATATGCAAATATGAAATTAAAGAACCAGGCAAACAACTTTCCACCTTCGGTTGTAGCGGTTACAAAAAGTCAAAGAGTTGTGAAAACGATTATGAAATCGTTCTTATCCAAAAATGATCATGGATATTATATTTTCAGAATGAACGTATTTACATGTATATAACTGACCTTTATTAAATTGTCAGATACATTTTGTTTCTAAAATGATCTTAGAAATTGAATATCAACAAGAAAACGTAATCCCAAAACATCATATACAATACTTTCCATTTCAAAACAGTCTAAGAAATGTTAGTTTCAGTCGTTTTTACACAGTACTTATTTCTTAATCAAAACGTTTTTTTTCTAAAACGGCAAGTTATAATGAATATTATTATGTTGTTCTGATGTTAAATTGGAATCACGATATATCAGTCGATTCTTGTCTTACACTGACCAAGGATTGTACTAAAATCTTGCAATTAATGAAAATGATAAAATAACAGTTAACATCACACAGTTATAAAGTAAAGAGAATTCCGAGGACTTCAAATCGTCCCCGTGATGACTACAAAATGATTGTAAATCTATGTCTAAATATTAGAAGGGTTACTCAAGATTGAAACTTATATTACTTGCCCGATTCTCTCATTTGTATATTGAAAATTACTGATGATGCTTTGTACAAGGGAACATCACAAACTCCTTCATAACTTAACATATTCCTACAGTATGATAGAATATTTGTCACCTGCGTACCAAAATATTGATTGACTGATATCAAAACTATCGATTGACTAATATCAAAACTATCACATGTACCTTCAGTACGACAACAATGACGATCACCTCGAGTTCACTTCTGAACTTTATAACATTTACTTACAGTATGGCAACATTGAGACCTTACTGAAAACCTCTATGGCATTTTCCTACAGTATAAAATCAAAGGTCACTTCACTAACACATTCTATGGTATTTCCCTATAATATGACATCACTGGTTACCCTACTACTAAACTCCATAGTATTTCCCTACAATATGACATCACTGGTTATCCCACTACTAAACTCTATGGCATTTTCCTACAATATGACATCACTGGTTACCCCACTACTAAACTCTATGGCATTTTCCTACAATATGACATCACTGGTTACCCTACTTCTAAACTCTATGGTATTCCCTACAATATGACATCACTGGTTACCCCACTACTAAACTCTATGGCATTTTCCTACAATATGACATCACTGGTTACCCCACTACTAAACTCTATGGTATTTCCTACAATATGACATCACTGGTTACCCCACTACTAACTCTATGGTATTTTCCTACAATTTGGCATCACTGGTTACCCCACTACTAAACTCTATGGTATTTTCCTACAATATGACATCACTGGTTACCCCACTACTAAACTCTATAGTATATTTTCCTAAAGTTACAACATTGGTGACCCCACTTCCAAAGTGAATGGTATTTTCCTACAGTATGACAATATTGTTCACCTCACTGTCAATCGCTATGAAAACGTGTCAACCTCAATTATATGACTGTTAATTAACATACGAACTCCAATTGCCTATTGTCCTTGTAGGACAAAATAGATTATGTTCAGCCTTGTTTGAAGTATAGGGATTAACTGGACCAACAGGTCATTTTGATCAGCAGATTACGTAGCTAACTATTTCATCGGAATCGTCCATCCATTTTTAACTTAATAAAACAATTACGTAAGTCAAGGTAACTTTATTTCTAACTATGAGATTTTAATGTGTAATAAGAATGAAGATTGTTCATTGGTGTATCGTCTGCATGGTTCACTTCCAGTGAAGATAAAGGTTCATGATGCCATTCCATTTGTTAAAGTGTCTCCTCGGTAGCTCCTGTTTTTCCTTGTGTTCTGATAGTGTGGAAATTGTGGGTAATACGGTTTTGAATTCGTCCATCTGTCTGTCGCACATTTCTATCTTGATAATAACTTTCCTAAACATTTGTGGAATTCGGACAACTATGGTTTTGCTTGCGTAAAAGTATTACTCATTTTATTGGGGTATTTTTTTGTGAGCGATGCTTGCATAATGGCAATTCTCAGTCAAGCTTCGATGATAAGGGCACTCTCTTGATTTTCATTGAAGATCCGGGATCCCTTTCCAAACAATGCAAATTTTTATCATTTCTACTCATCGATAAGTTTTGGCCAAATCGGGTGTGCAATTGTATATAGTCGATACCGCGGCAAACATTGAAGACGACGCATTTCAGGTAAGATATGTGGGTCAAATGTTCAAATGACATATACCATCCATCTTCATCCGACAGCTTTTGTTGTGTGAAAACAATTTTCATTTTGAAAACTTCATTCGTGGAGTACCCATCAAAATACATGATAACGGGGAAAATGAAATATACTGAGGATGTAACCGTACGAATAATTCAATTTCTGGCTGACAAAATATTTGTCGAGTTTGGTTGGAAGATATCTCAACAGAGTGTTGACATATATACCCATCAGGACAAACGGTGCCAGCCTCTCTTGGCCGACTTGTTTTTGTTTGGCTGATTTATCAAAGGTGACATCATCCAATTTCATAGACCTTTACTTATAACAAAATCAATGGAACCACTTCCTTAAAAGCTGCATGATATGGAATTTAATGCTACGTTGGATCTGACATTAATTGGTCTTCTCCAAATTTAACAATGAAAGATATCAAAAGGTGATGAATAAAGTTATACAGGGTTTCAAGGGATACAGGTTCGAAGATTATTGTGACTTAGCTTTACGGCAATCATCACGGTGATGTTCTATTTCCTTGTGCAGTATAGATATCAACATCTGTTATTGTGCTTATCAGTGTGTCTTGTGGTTTTACTGTCACTGCCCCAGTTCTCTCTTTTAGAACATGACATTACTTTGATTGTTTGGTTTGGTTTGTTTGTGTTTTACATCCTATTAACAGCTATGATCATTTAAGGATGTACCAGGTTTTGGTGGTGGAGGAAAGCAGTAGTTCCCGGAGGAAAACCACCGACCTACGGCCAGTACTTGGCAACTATGTAGGCCTCGAACCCGCAACCCAGTTGTGGAGGGCTAGTGGTAGCAGAATGTCAGACACCTTAACCACTTGGCCACCCCAGTTGTAACCTAGATGTACTAAGTGGGTGTCACCTATGAACCAGAAGATGCTTTACACTTCCAGATCACCAGCTTTTATTTTTCTTGTATATTTTCAAGGGTCTTCGTGTTAATGTGGTTCTGCTCATATGTTGTCATAGTGTCATCGAATCGGACTTTAGTTCTGTTATTTTTGTCTTAATTTGTATTCCAATCTGTAACAATATCTTACAGAAAGATGATATTATGATTCTGACTTTACCTTGCAATAGCTTTTCCACTTTTCAGATTGTATTAGTTCAATTCAAAACTTTATTTCCAACTGAATACATCTTCATTTATTACATTTATAATTGTGGCAGTAGCAACCCAAAATCTTCAGAAATGATCACCATATATCTGTGAAGAAAACTAGTGCTTTATCTGTTTACTCATGTGACGATCAGGCCCTTGGACCTTTTTAATGTAATCACACTTCCTCAAACTTGGTCTACTGGTACATTTAGTCTACAAACATGAAACCTGACAAGTTACATCAAATTTAACTGATACTAAGAACAGATTGCTACTGCATTATCATCCATGTTCTATTTGATATATTTAGATTTTTTTGTCTCATTAATGTTATCAACTTTACGTGGTGCAATAATATGAAGAATTGTGAAGGTGGGTGAAAGTTGATAAGTTGTTATGGAACTAATAACTTTAATACAGTACGACTGCTGACTTACATTGGCGTGGAAGTTTACTTGTGCAGTTTTGGGCCGAACTCGGACTGGGTCTTCTTTGGCTGCAAACAAAAATATGACCACTAATCAAACATCTATTAATTAATTAATATATTATTAAAAACAATTAACATTAAATCAAATGCAAATATATTCATCAACACCCTCTGTGCTATAACAATCTCTCTCACCAAAATTTGATTTTTTAAATTAATGACAAAACTGTTGCTTCACTGCAGAACATTTTTAATTTAGAATATTTTGATTGCTGTTCAGTATTATGTAATGTTTTTTTTACAGTTAACAAGTGACTTAATTAGTAGAAATTATCAGGATTTTGAAAACCTTGCTACTTTTATCTCTAGTAGAGCACGGGAAGAGGTTGTATATTCACCTTCAGGTGTATCTCTCCGGGTGACGGAGGAGTAAGGGCGGATGATCTTTTTCTCTTCCAGCATGAGAACACCTCCACCTCCGTCCTTGACAGACCTCTTGGACCTGCTCATCCTTCTGGCGGACCCGTGGTACACTTCTATGTCATCTTCATCATCATGGTCAGAGTCGAGGGCCTTCATGTATTTCTCGATGTCCTCGTCGGTGATTTCTGGCATGGGCGACTCTTGGACTGCAGGAACACAAGTACTAGCTACAGTATATCTATAATGATCTCTTATGAGATCTTTAGATGTCAATTACATTCTTGCCATAGTTACTGTAGATTATATTTAATTAGTAATATTGAGGTTCTATCAATATATTTGTAGAAATTAACATCACAGTTAAAGTAGTCTACAGTATAACTAGTACTCTATTAATTAAAAATCTGTAATAAATTTCAACAAACAAATTTACCACAACGTTTCATGGGTGCTCCTATTACTTTGCATCATTTTCATGTCACTATTTTAACATTTGATATAAATTAATGGTTCTGATCAGAACTAATATAATTATCTGCATTACATTACATATACATGTACTTATTAAAGATTATGAGAGTGATCAATTTAATCCTCAAAGTGAAGAACACAAAAAACTTCATTAATATGCAGAATGGCATGTATCGGCAAACATTGTCAAATTTGCATTTTATATATATTGATTAATTTCCAAATTTCCAATGTTCCAACAAGTTTACCTGAAAGCTATAAAGGGGAGATAACACATCAACTTGTTTTTTATGCTGTATACCCACATATAATTTTTAACACATATAAAATTATGAGTGTTAGCTTAAGTGTAAAAACAATCTGTTTATTAATCTGACCTGAAATATGATAAATAAATCTTGGTATTTATTAGACACACAGTACTGGAATTCTACAGTGTTGAAGTGCTTGCATTTTTGTGTATTAGCAAGAAAATATCCACATATGAATATAACTTTATGTACATGTATATATCACAGACATATAGAGATTATAGGTTTCAGAATCATTGTTAACATGAACATTATCACATCATGATCAGTTAAAAAGAGACATAACACGAACATTGCCAAATATGAGAATGTCCAATTTAATTTACAGTATTCTGTGCACATTTTTAAAGACTCGGCCTCATATATTTTTAGTAATAATTTAAATACAACATAATGAAAAAAATCATAGGAACAAAACATGAAATGACTTTTTGGGAATTTTCTGAAACACATTACTGAAATATTATGCAGTACTGTGCAATAATATAAACATACTTTGTACACAATATTGACAGCAGGCATACGGCGAGTTAATGGATTATAAAGTCTGCTGGCTCATCACTTTCAAGTTCAAACATATATATATCTACAAATTTCATTAAAACTGGTCTTCATATAAATCTATGCAGGCAAGAAAATTGTAATTGAAATGTATACAATTTAGGATATGCTTCTTTTAATTTATCTATTTCAATTTATTTTTTAACCTCTAAATAAAATATATGGTTAATCATTTATGATTCTTTATGGGAAAGTAATATAGATTCATGCCGCAAAAATCAATAACTCAGATTGAGAAGTGATTTGATTTTTTTTCAAAATTTTAATTATTAAAATAAGGCATTACCTATATGCCAAATATTAATTCATAATTCATCTATAACACTTTTCCCCCCTGGAAAGATCTTATATTTGAAATTGAAACATTACTGCACGTCTAAGATTACAACCAAAAGACATTAGTTAATCTAATGGGAAATATAATGCACATTATATCTTGATTACCGTATATTACAAGAGTTGAGCTTGATGAGCCAACATGCTGAATCCAAAGGCTAACAATAACATGTGATTACACAGACCGGTAATAAGGGGAGGTAATGGATAATAAGGGGAGGTAATAGATAATAAGGGGAGGTAATAGATAATGAGTGATACAGTTAGGTTTTTTCAGTAGTTGACAGCTGTAAGAACTAACTTAGAGAGTTGAGAAGGTGTTAATAGTGAAACAAGTCTACTACATAGTTTTACTATTAACACAGAATAAAAGCAGCTTGTTTCTGAATGAACTAATATAATGAACTTTAGTTATTAAATACTGCTATATTGCATATATATTACAAAATATATATACAAATTGTGATATATAACATATTGTTATATCACATAATGTTGTTTTTTAATTTTTAAATGTAATACATGTAAAAGAAAACCCAATGTTTCATATCCCTTCAGAATGCCAAAATTATTTGAAAAACATTATTAAAATTATGGTATTAAATAGTTTTGCTATTTCCATGAACCATAAAACAGTCTGTTTCTAAATGAAATTAAGCGTTACCTGATATATGAGTGGGAAACCAATCAATAAGGATAAAACAATACAATGGCAGAGTTATAACGCCAACACAACAGAGTATTAGTACAGGTTAGGGTAAACAGTATAACACAATCCGTACAACAGAAACAGGTGCATAAACATAAGCTTCTCCAAGGTTAGAGGTGGTTATATGTGTTAAGCTATATAAAGACGCTATATTTTAGGTGGTTAAGCATCCCTATGCAAGAATTACGTGTGTGAGGATCTTGTGGTGCATCGTTTTCTCGAGGCAGGACAATTTTGATTGGCTTGGAGCTCGACTTTCGCTGTTCAGATAACTTTTTTAAAGCACCAGCCTGTGGGGCTGGTCCTCCAGGTCGGGGCATCAACTCGCCCCTTCCCCATCGTCGCTGCATGGATGTTTCAACCTCGGGCGACAGGTTTTCTCTGTCTTTTTCCTCATCTTCAGGTTTTGGTTCGAGTCCTACATGTCAGTGATTATAATACAGACCTATATAGAGTGATTGTGCATCACGTTCCAGTGACACAAGTTATACAACAGTACGGGGTACTGACAATCAACACAGTGATGTAATATGGACTGATGTAGATCTGAGATCAACCAGCATACACAAAATACAACTAACATGCAAGTGCTGACAGACATAGTGACATACAAAACGTATGATAAAGATAACTACCATCATTTAGAGGATATATGTCATGCTCTGATAAAGATAACTACCATCATTTAGAGGATATATGTCATGCTCTGATAAAGATAACGACCAGATTTTCGAGGCTATTTCATGCTCTGATTTGGATAACAACCATAGTTCAGAGGCTATTTCATGCTCCATTACAGATAAAAACCATCGTTTAGAGGATATGTCATGCTGTGATAAAGATAACAACTATTGCTTTGTGACAATTTCATGCTTTTCTATTCATTCACATGCAAAAAAGGTTTATCAACCTTTTTTTGAAGGAAACTCAAGATCATGAAAACTATCACTATAAAGAGTGTCACCATACAAATCACTTCAATGTCCAGTTCTTCTGAGAATATATTAAACTGTGACTTATACAAGTGTTTTAAAACAATGTGATCAGATAACTACACAAAACATTACCTTTATTGTCTGCGGTCTGTTGCATCCCTTTGGTAGGCATTGAAGGCTTTGGCTGAAATCACACAGCAATCAAATTATATCTGTGATACAGTGATCAATCACTAGACAACCTGTTGTTATTTATGACACTTTTTTAAACATCTTGAAATCTGTCTTTCAGTAGCTCTCTGCTTCACACTTTAACAATTCTATCAATAATGACAACACATGTATATGTATATATAGAGGGCAAAACAGAAAAGTGAACACCGGTATATCTTTTTTTAATGTTCTGACTATGTGACTTTAGAACATCAAAACATTTAAAAAAGTTAAATTCTGGCTCTTCAAATGTAATTTAACAAAATATGATCATAACAAGCCTAGTGTCAACTGTTCACACAAAGCCATAGCAATTTTGTAGCTCTCTAAAATATAACAGCAGTACACAGTCTAAACATTATCTGGGGTACACAGACTATATTATTTATACTCTACATTATCTGGGGTACACAAAGATTTTACATTACATGCATGGGGTACACAAACTATATTGTGTTATATATACTATATATCATCTATAGGGTTCACTGACTTTATTGTGTATACTATAAATTATCTGGGGTACACAAACTATATTGTGTTATACATACTATATACTATCTATAGGGTTCACTGACTTTATTGTGTATACTATAAATGATCTGGGGTACACAGACTATATTATGTATTCTACACATTATCTGGGGTACACAGACTATATTATGTATTCTACACATTATCTGGGGTACACAGACTATATTATGTATTCTACACATTATCTGGGGTACACAGACTATATTATGTATTCTACACATTATCTGGGGTACACAGACTATATTATGTATTCTACACATTATCTGGGGTACACAGACTATATTATGTATTCTATACATTATCTGGGGTACAAAAAGGCTACATTATATGGGGTACACCAACTTTATTGTGTATACTATATATTATTTGGGGTACACAGACTATATTGTATATACTATACATTATCTTGGGTAACCAAAGACTATACATGATCCTGGGTACACAGATTATGTTGTGTTTTCTGTACATTATCTGGGGTACACAAACTATAGTGTGTATACAAAACATTATCAAGGGAAAACAATGACTACATTATCTGGGGTACACAAACTATATTGTGTATAGTACACATTATCTTGGGTACACAAAGTTTAAATTATCTTGGGTACACAAAGACTACATTATTTTGGGTACACAGACTATATTGTGTATACTATACATTAGCTGGGGTACACAAAGACTACATTATCTAGGGTACACAAAGACTACATTATCTGGGGTACACAGACTATATTTCATCTGGTGTTGATAAACTTTATCTAATATACTTTACATGTTTTCCTACCTCAGGAGGTTTATACATGTGTGGCATAGGCAGATCTAGCGTTTTAATCTCGACTTGAGTTTCCTCCTGCTTCTCTTGCTCAGCAGTGACTGTTGTCTCTGTACCAGGAGGCTGTTCTAGTGGTTTAGCCGGAGGAGCTCCGGGACGGTTTATGATTGGCTTGATTGGTCTTGGTGGTTCCATGGACCTACGGGGAGGTGGCAGTTCAAGCTTGGTGCCCATGAGGCCAGCTTGTTTGGCACCCGGCTTTTCTTCCGGATCCCACATCATGTCTTGGAAACTATCAATGTCCTCTTGCTGGAACATGACATTGGGGTAGTTGCCATCGCCCTCCTCCTTCAGTCGGTCAGGTGCCCGGGGCTAGGGACAGACACACCAAACAAAGCCACTCATAAGCCCATACTGGTAGCAGCTATTATGTGAATAACTCTATTAAATCAGCAAATCACTTAACTAAACTGATCCAATAAACTTTCCGAGTTACATGAAAACACAAATGAAACATTCTTCCTCTGGCAATTATGTAACACTAGAAAATCAAACTATGCAAATTCAAGCTTGACACAAGTTAGCAATATTCTCTTTGTAACCGGCAGGTAACTCAGACTCCACACAAGCATATGACTCACCTGGTAGCCAGAGGGTAAGTCAAAGCATGACTAACTTCATAACCAGATGGTAACTCAGACTCAACACAAGCACGACTCACCCGGTAACCAGATGGTAAGTCAAAGCATCACTCACTTTATAATGAGATGGTATCTCAAAACTCAACTCAAACATGACTCACCTGGTATCCAGAGGGTAAGTCAAAGCATGACTCACCTCATAACCAGATGGTAACTTAGACTCAACTCCAACCTGACTCACTTGGTAACCAGATGGTAAGTCAAAGCATCACTCACTTTATAATGAGATGGTATCTCAAAACTCAACTCAAACATGACTCACCTGGTATCCAGAGGGTAAGTCAAAGCATGACTCACCTCATAACCAGATGGTAACTTAGACTCAACTCCAACCTGACTCACTTGGTAACCAGATGGTAAGTCAAAGCATCACTCACTTTATAATGAGATGGTATCTCAAAACTCAACTCAAACATGACTCACCTGGTATCCAGAGGGTAAGTCAAAGCATGACTCACCTCATAACCAGATGGTAACTTAGACTCAACTCCAACCTGACTCACTTGGTAACCAGATGGTAAGTCAAAGCATCACTCACTTTATAACGAGATGGTAATCCAGACTCAACACAAACATGACTCACCCGGTAACCAGATGGTAAGTCAAAGCATCACTCACCTCATAATGAGATGGTATCTCAAAACTCAACTCAAACATGACTCACCTGGTGACCAGAGGATAAGTCAAAGCATGACTCGCCTCATAACCAGATGGTATCTCAGACTCCACACAAGCTATTTCACCTGGTAACCAGAGGGTAAGTCAAAGCATCACTCACCTCATAACCAGATGGTATCTCAGACTCAACAAAAGCTATTTCACCTGGTTACCAGAGGGTAAGTCAAAGCATCACTCACCTCATAACCAGATGGTATCTCAGACTCAACAAAAGCTATTTCACCTGGTACCCCGAGGGTAAGTCAAAGCATCACTCACCTCATAACCAGATGGTATCTCAGACTCAACAAAAGCTATTTCACCTGGTTACCAGAGGGTAAGTCAAAGCATCACTCACCTCATAACCAGATGGTATCTCAGACTCAACAAAAGCTATTTCACCTGGTACCCCGAGGGTAAGTCAAAGCATCACTCACCTCATAACCAGATGGTATCTCAGACTCAACAAAAGCTATTTCACCTGGTTACCAGAGGGTAAGTCAAAGCATCACTCACCTCATAACCAGATGGTATCTCAGACTCAACAAAAGCTATTTCACCTGGTACCCCGAGGGTAAGTCAAAGCATCACTCACCTCATAACCAGATGGTATCTCAGACTCAACAAAAGCTATTTCACCTGGTTACCAGAGGGTAAGTCAAAGCATCACTCACCTCATAACCAGATGGTATCTCAGACTCAACAAAAGCTATTTCACCTGGTACCCCGAGGGTAAGTCAAAGCATCACTCACCTCATAACCAGATGGTATCTCAGACTCAACAAAAGCTATTTCACCTGGTTACCAGAGGGTAAGTCAAAGCATCACTCACCTCATAACCAGATGGTATCTCAGACTCAACAAAAGCTATTTCACCTGGTACCCCGAGGGTAAGTCAAAGCATCACTCACCTCATAACCAGATGGTATCTCAGACTCAACAAAAGCTATTTCACCTGGTTACCAGAGGGTAAGTCAAAGCATCACTCACCTCATAACCAGATGGTATCTCAGACTCAACAAAAGCTATTTCACCTGGTTACCAGAGGGTAAGTCAAAGCATCACTCACCTCATAACCAGATGGTATCTCAGACTCAACAAAAGCTATTTCACCTGGTTACCAGAGGGTAAGTCAAAGCATCACTCACCTCATAACCAGATGGTATCTCAGACTCAACAAAAGCTATTTCACCTGGTTACCAGAGGGTAAGTCAAAGCATCACTCACCTCATAACCAGATGGTATCTCAGACTCAACAAAAGCTATTTCACCTGGTTACCAGAGGGTAAGTCAAAGCATCACTCACCTCATAACCAGATGGTATCTCAGACTCAACAAAAGCTATTTCACCTGGTTACCAGAGGGTAAGTCAAAGCATCACTCACCTCATAACCAGATGGTATCTCAGACTCAACAAAAGCTATTTCACCTGGTTACCAGAGGGTAAGTCAAAGCATCACTCACCTCATAACCAGATGGTATCTCAGACTCAACAAAAGCTATTTCACCTGGTTACCAGAGGGTAAGTCAAAGCATCACTCACCTCATAACCAGATGGTATCTCAGACTCAACAAAAGCTATTTCACCTGGTACCCCGAGGGTAAGTCAAAGCATCACTCACCTCATAACCAGATGGTATCTCAGACTCAACAAAAGCTATTTCACCTGGTTACCAGAGGGTAAGTCAAAGCATGACTCACCTCATAACCAGAAGGTAACTTAGACTCAACACAAGCTATTTCACCTGGTTACCAGAGGGTAAGTCAAAGCATCACTCACCTCATAACCAGATGGCATCTCAGACTTAACAAAAGCTATTTCACCTGGTAACCAGAGGGTAAGTCAAAGCATGATTCACCTCATAACCAGATGGTATCTCAGACTCAACAAAAGCTATTTCACCTGGTTACCAGAGGGTAAGTCAAAGCATGATTCACCTCATAACCAGATAGTAACTCAGACTCAACACAAGCTATTTCACCTGGTTACCAGAGGGTAAGTCAAAGCATCGACCACCTCATAACCAGATAGTAACTCAGACTCAACACAAGCTATTTCACCTGGTAACCAGAGGGTAAGTCAAAGCATGACTCACCTCATAATCAGATGGTAACCCTGACTCAACTTACGCAGGTAACTCAAATTCAACACTTTGTTATCATAACCAGCAGATTATGCATACATGACTCACATTACGACCAGTAGGCAACTCATATAACATTTGTGCATGACTTACCTTGTAACCAGCAGGTAATTTAGAATCAACACATACACGACTCATCTTGTAACAAACAAGCAATATACGCATGACTCACTTTGTAACTCTACTAGCAGATAACACACACATGACACCTTATTACCAGCAAGTACAGCAGGTAACTCAAACAAGACTCACCTTGTAACCAGCAGGTAACTCAAACATGACTCACCTTGTAACCAGCAGGTAATTAACTCAAACATGACTCACCTTGTAACCAGCAGGTAGTTAACTCACACATGACTCACCTTGTAACCAGCAGGTAACTCACACACGACTCACCTTGTAACCAGCAGGTAACTCACACATGACTTTCCTTGCAACCAGCAGGTAACTCACACATATGACTCACCTTGTAACCAGCAGGTAAATCATATTTCTTCTTCTGCATCTCCTGTTGTAGTCTCTGCTGCTCTATTAGTTCCTGGTGTGACAGCTTCTGTCCTTTCTTTGGCATCTTCCTGTCCTTCATCTGCTTTTTCCTCATCTCTCTCTCTTTCTGCTGTAGCAGCTTCAACTCATCCTCCTATTCATTCAAACATCAACATTTTATGTCAATATTGAGACATTTGTACAGCCACTTCAATTTATCCTTCACATTGAAACATCAACATTTAATGATAACACTGAGACATTGACAGCCGTTTCAACTCATTTACTTTATAGTTAATTATCCAGTTATAACATGTATCAATAATAAGCTTCAATTTTAAAACATTTACTTCAATTCATTATTACATACATCATGTATATCAGCCAAAAAGGAGATAATTCAACTACTTCATCTTACTTAAAACCAAAATGTATAGCCACCTGAATTTGTTCCTGCTACAGGGAGCCCCATCCCGTTGATAATGATATCTACTTACGGTGAGTGCTGAGTGCGAGTGGTCGGACTCCCGCCTGGAAGGGGAAGGTGAAGGGAATCGCTTTTGTAACCGTTTAGATTGAGGTCTCATAAGGCCCTTAACATCAACCCTGGCATTGGCAAGACTGTATTTGCTACGGCGTCTCGGGATTTCTTCTTCTTCCTCCTCATACTCGTGCTGGGGTCGGGGCCGTTTATCCTCCACAGGGGTAAACGCTTCTACAGGTACAGAAATAAACATTGTCAAACATTATTTCAGCTTCATTTATTACTCTATACAAATAGTTATGATATAAGAAAGGATTTTGGTAATTCTTAAAAGGAAAATATTATAAAGATATGTTATATATGTAGGGTAATCCTTCAGATATTCTAGCTATGGCTTTTCGTGGTAAGTAATCAAAGAGCAATGGACCTGCATTCTTATACAGATACCTGGACAGTACAATAGACTCATGGATCATGTTCTAGTAAAACATAGCAGATCATTGTGGTACTAGTAATGTGTCGATACTGTCTCCAAAACTGTCCGCAAAGCCAATTTATTGTCTTATTTTCTTGCCAAGGTTTAAAAAGAAAAAATATTTGATAGCAGTATGTACTAGAAAAAAGTCATCAAATATATAGAACATCTTTATCCTGTAAAAAACAGCTGGGGTACAAAAACATGTAAATTTAATACTTACCCATTCTTTAATTACATTTATAACATGGATGTAACACGTATTTACCTTGTGGTGTATCATCACATGAGAACAATTTTGCTTATGCATCAATTCATTTTGTTTCTGCATTTACCAATATATAAGCAGTCTTGTTCTGATGAAATTGGACAGAACATATTCCTTTTTTGCAGACAATGTATCAATCATCAATGTAGAATAATTATACTAATCACATACTTCTTTAATACCCTTTTTCTTTATCATCTCATTTAATTGCAAAGAAGGATATTTCAGATGTAGATGACATTGAATACTATCCAGAAAAGTTTTCCAAAATTGTTTTAATACAGGTTCAATACAGGTACCCACAAACACCATTTAAACTGAAAACAATGAGATACATTTTACAACAAAACTGCACTGAAAGGTAAAAATAGAATCAGTTTGCTACAAGAGACAGGTGATAAATATAGAAAGGTTCCATCTACCACACCAGACAGTAGACAGTGACCTACATTTACACATCTACCACACCAGACAGTAGACACAGTGACCTAGATTTACACATCTACCAAATACTGAGGTCACACACCAAGGTCAGGGACTCTGTCATTAAACTCAAGGTCATATTACCAAGCTCACATCCTAATTATGCAGTCACACTATAATGAGGTTGAGGCCTCATATTATTTAGATTGATACTGTACACATATTGTACAATATTACTTTAATTTACAGGGTTATTTTTATGATTGAAAATAAAAATAACCCTGTAATTATTGTTGATAATTAAGATAATATTTGCACTTAGTTTTGGATTAGCTCCTAGCCAAACTAGGTTGATTTGTGAATGCATGCTTCAATTTATAAGTAAATCAGTAAAGCTGGCTCAAAATGCTAAATTAAGAGCTGATATTAGGTTTAATTTGTAATCTTATATTTGAGAGAGTGTTCAACATTTGGAAAATGCTGATAGTGACACGTATGATAACCATGATATAATTTGAGTACAAATTTGTTGACGCTTCTTATAATAACTGTCCAAAAAATAAGGGAACCCCAAAACTTTTATAGGAAATATATACAATTTTCTTTTAAAAGGCAAGAACTTATACTTAACTAAGCATAAAAAAAATCTGTACAAATACAAAATGTTGCCTTAGATTTTCAGTATAACATATACAGTACACAAAATGCACACATTTTATACATTAAACATATAAAATGAAAAATGTAAACAATTTGAACAAAGACCAAATTACTTTCAGACTTATTATCTAAGTAAAGACCAAGGTTTGCCAATTTTTCATTCAGGACTTTTTTTCCGAAAATGTTGAAAATCACTACTCAAACTGCATAAGTAGAAGTCTGTAATGCCAGAATATTAAAAACTTGATATGTCAGTAAAAGTTTGATTCTCAAATTGACAGAATCCTATAATCAGTGTGTTTTGAGACAAGTGTGATGTCATTGGGCATTTGTTAAGAACACTATTCTTTGTCATTTTCCTACTACCTCTGTATACATAGCTGGTGTAGAAAATGACACAAGATTTGAAAACATGTTCACTAAAATTACACCGAATCTAAAAGCTTTTGTCCACTAATTAAGGATGTCCTCATTATTCCAATCTAGTCCCACAATGATGTAAATAATGAGACAGTTAATGAAGAGAAGGATAACGGTTGGTTTGGGTGTCAACCAACTCATCATATCAGCCACATTAAGATTGTGTGATTTATATACATAGACAGTTACCACAAATTAGACACAAGTAGAGTTGATTCTGTAGTCAAAATATTTAACAAGCTACATTAAGATTGTGTGATGTAAATAACTAGACAGTTACACACAGATGTATATTTGACATGCTACATTGAGATTGTGTGATGTAAATTACTAGACAGTCAACACAAATGTATATTTGACAAGCTACATTGAGATTGTGTGATTTAAATTACTAGACAGTTACACACAGATGTATATTTGACATGCTACATTGAGATTGTGTGATGTAAATTACTAGAGAGTCAACACAGATGTATATATATTTGACAAGCTGCATTGAGATTGTGTGATGTAAATTACTAGACAGTTACACACAGATGTATATTTGACAAGCTACATTGAGATTGTGTGATGTAAATTATTAGACAGTTACACACAAAGACACAGGAAGGGTTCATCACTGGAGTCAATATATTTGACAAGCTACATTGAGATTGTGTGATGTAAATTATTAGACAGTTACACAAAGACACAGGAAGGGTTAATTACTGGAGTCAATATATTTGACAAGCTACATTGAGATTGTGTGATGTAAATTACTAGACAGTTAACACAGATGTATATTTGACAAGCTACATTGAGATTGTGTGATGTAAATTATTAGAGTTACACAAAGACACAGGAAGGGTTCATTACTGGAGTCAATATATTTGACAAGCTACATTGAGATTGTGTGATGTAAATTACTAGACAGTTAACACAGAGATGGATATAGGGTTGATTCTGGGGTCAACAAACAGATCAGCTGGTCACTCTCTCACGACTGTGATTTCTAGAAATTCTCGAGATCAAGAAACTCGGACCAGCCGATTACTTTCTCAGGATAGTGCTGTTTAGATAACTACGGAGTAGACAGTTAACCGTAGTACCAGGAATACATACAATATAGGATTCTTGTGGTCAACCTACTGACCACTAGTTGTTACAGTGCTCGTAATTACTGTACCTCCTGTAGATATTACAGTGAATGTTAATTTCCTGAAATAACTTGCGAATTCATTTCTTTCATTTTCATAATCAAATTAATAACCTTGATTGTTTTATTTTCAAGATTTATAAGGCTAGGCCTGAATAAAAAAATATTGTTGTTGTTTCATTTAAAAAAAATTGCTGTTGTTTCACTTTTCTTTTTTTCTTCTTATTTTTCTGGACTGTATAGTTTGGTCACAGATAATCATGAAATAAGAAACAATGAATTTGCAGAGAAAACAAGTTTACGATTGATTTAGAGAACGGTCATAAGATTTCCCTGAAGAGCAGTGCATGCAAATCACCCTCATCTACACAATACTGTTGTGTTACCTTCCTCACGCAGTTGTCTCCCTTTCATATCCTTCTCCGGCTGGGGAAGTCTAACTGTGGACAACAGACTTGAGCCTTTCTCCTTTTTTATTTCATTTAGCACCGAAGCGAAATCATTATCATCTTCATCATCATTGAGAGTTTTACGAGAAACCAACGTTTTATTGGAACATGTCAGTACAGGAAGTTCATTAGCAGTTTCGGATTCAACTTTAACCTCTGGTGATTTTTCCTCAGGTTCTTGTTCCTGTTCAGATTCTGAGGAAATACCAACTTGGGGTTTGTCAGAAATATCATCTTTTTGCACTGTGTCAGTATTTGCCTCAGTACCGAAAAACTCAGATTTGAACTGTACAGCTTCAGGTTCATCCTGCGTATCTACCGTCTGCATCATAGTTACAGGTGTGCGGTCATCCGCATCCAGCACATTCGGTATGTCATAGTCTATCTTTTTCTTTGAGAATTCAGGAACAGAATCAGTAGGAAGTTTTTCCAGTGTATTTTGTGGTGGGGTATATTCAACAGATGCTTTCGGTGCTAAATGTTCAAAGGGATCTAGGTCTGCTGTCCATTGTACACGGGATAAAGGCACAGGATGATGATGAAAATTGGTGACTATATACATATATATACATACATTTATACATGCTGCTATAATTCTGCTACACAAAGTGAACCATACAAAGATCTATTAGCAAAATACTGTTAGCATTTCAAATGTAAAAATTATGAAATAAATGATCAATTAATCAAATTACAATAACATGAAGAAAGTTGTTACGAATTTTGAAATCATAATTCGGGCATTAAGTTGTTTTCCCTTTACATTTCCCACATTACTGAATCTTGATATTTTGCAATATTTTTATTTTATATTTTATACACTCTTGTTTCCAGTAGTTTCCATATTTTTGCATGTCCCTTGGTCTGTTATCAGAATTTTGTGTTGATGGGACATATACATGTACAGAATAATTAATAAATAAATCATTAATATACAATATGTATGTGATGTGAACTTAAGATACATAATAGGGAATCGGATGAGGTGTAACATGGCGGAAAATTAGTTGGAACTAATAAATATAAATAAAATAAATATATATTATAAACAGACAATATATTATCACCATACATCACTTTAATAGGTTCTATGAACAAAATTCTTAAAAAATGAAATAAAATAACTACTAATTTAAGGTGGCTCCACACTTTCGCAATTAACCAGCAAAATTCGTTGAAACTTTCATATAATTGTTATGCAACTATGTCGAGTTGATTTTATGAAAATCTAAACATTCCGATAGTTTGGGGAATTTTTTGGAAAAAATACCAAAAAATTGAATTTTCGTCAATTCTAATATTTTCCGGGTTTTTTTGTGTGTGGCATTGTTCGGAACAATAACAACAATAATAAAATGAAAAGAAGCATTTCTAATTAACCCTACAAATATTTTATTTATCGCAAAATATGTAACACATGTTACACAAAGTGTTTTTTATTGAATTTGTACGGATAAAAGTGATTATCTACAAGCTAAAAGCACCCAGGACACAAAGTTCTATACATATAGAGTGGGAAATTGAACAAAATATACACAATGGCTTTATAATTAATTTATTTTACATTTTACAATCACTTTGATCCGGGTGAGAGTTATCTTCCTTGAAAAAAATCGGAACTTTTTGCAGAGGGGTGACATTTACACAATGACAGTTGTCTCTGTTTACATATAACAAAAATGATGGAAATAAATCAAAAATATGATATCAAAATTATCAATTTATTGTTCTTTAATGGAACCAAATTACCCTCAGTCATGTACACTTTGGACATCATTCCACAGTCCGCTAACTCACGGTATATTTATAATTACATGTCAGACCAGAGGCTATCGCATGGTATACCGTTCTCACGTGCACTCACACATGCATTTCATAGGTATCTTGATATTTTACAAAACATTATTTTCACAGAGTAAGCTAGTAGACTACATTTGTAAACACGATTTAATCGACAGAGCGAAACTCCCTCAACAGCGAAAATCGTAACGACCTCGAGCTTATGAACTCGTGTAAACACGCGATATGCACATGTGAGGTTGGTACGTCCGCATTCCATGTGTTTCCTATATGACCTTCTTGAGGTCGTCTGGTCTCATGTCACTGTCTTCCCGTGAGTCTGTTTATGTCTATGAATTGGAAAGCTTTATTCCTGAAGTACGTGTGAGTATACATTTCCCGGTAAAATCTTGATATCGGGTGTTGACATATCATCGGCACGCACGTGTACTATTGTTTACCATGGGCCTGTTCGTTTATGCGGAACAACCGGTTTGACCGTTTATAAATGTAACAATTTCGGGTGTAAATCCTGGCGGACCTGCAAATGTGTATGCAGGCCTTGCAAGGCTTTCTCAAGACTCGCCTGAAAGCAGCATCAGATTACTAGGTCCGACCTTATTTAATAAACGAACAACAGTGGTCCGATCGGTTTGACCGTTTAAACGAAAACGGCCCAGCAGGTGTTACTATAATTTGCACTACGATATTGAATGCCCGATACGCAATACGGAAATGACGACACGGTGTACATGCACATTTCGATTAAGATAATTGAGTCCTAGCTGTACTTTTTCCGGAAGTACGTCACGAAAATGGACGCTGATGACGATGTGTCGAGCCACCTTAAATGAAATTTGCATTCTATAATTGATTTTTAAATTCACATTTCTAGCTTGCCTCTTGTAAAATGATAAATTTAACTTAAACGTGATTGAGACCTATATCTAGCAGCGGCTACCTAATACTGTATCTAAAGCTAAGCGCTTATATACCAGCACCTGAAACATAGACCTGGAGAACATGCACTTAAATACACGTATAGTCATTACCACCAAAACACTGCACCACTCAATAACCACAATCAGTCGGTTCCAAAACTTTATGATTGGTATTATATATGTACAAAATATTCAACAACTGTGGCGAAAACTTAAACTGCAAATTCCACTTTCAGCACTATCAATCAAAGAATGTATTAAGTTAATGAGGAAAACCTCACCTGCGACTGGTTCTGGGGCGACCTTCTCAGGTTTAGCCTTATCTTTTACGATGTCTGTTCCCTAAAAATGCATAATTATAAACACAAACTAAAGTAATTAGCACTGTGCATCAAAATATTGTAATACAATTTGGTTAACAAAATAAAAATCTGTTTATATATATTTCAAATCAATCTGATTAAAATCATATGATTGGTTCATCTAAAGGTCACTTGAAGGTGACCCTGACCGCGGCACATTCAGATGTTCAGGCGGAGCCATGTAACAGATGATTTTAATCAGATTGATTTCAAATTAGCCTGACACAAATAGGCTTATCTCTGTGATGGTGCAGGACTATGTTAAAAATACCAGTACATATTCTAACAGCAAATAATAAGATCCAAGTAATTCTCAAATTATTATTCATTCAATTATTATCGTCATTTAATCACTAACCAACTGATAACCTACCTCAACATGGGGTACAAAGTCGACAGGGGTGGCAGGTCTGCTGGGGGGAGTGCCCGGGGGTGTGGGACCTGGCGACATCCCAAACGTTGGCAGGAGGAATGGGTCCTGCTCTTTCTGCCCGTCTTCATGGTCGGACTGCAACGGCGTGTCGTCGTCCAACATGATGTTGACACGCTTCTTGCCTCGCTTGGGATCTGAGATAGATATGGATGGGGATTATTAAACATTCAATGCTTTTTATTAAAACGTACACTGCAGCTGAGCTGTACAAGTTGTTAAAGATGATAAGAGATCAAAGACTACAGAAAACATGTACCGGGTAAATACAGATAACAATCATATAGAAAACACTTTATCAATTTCAAAATTATTAAAATTACTTATATATATATATGTTTCACATTTAGCATAAAACAGACACATGTATCCCAACAACATGGTCAATGTATATACGTAACTGTTAATCATGCAATGACATTCAAAGTACTTAGGCTTTTGACAGCAATGTTTTAGGTGATATGGTTCTTAAAGACAGAAAAGGTTGATCGCCACACAATATATCAGATCAATAACCTACGGCATCGTATCAATGGCATAATAGATGCTGTTATCAGGAGCCCAAAAATCAATCATTGGTAAAATAACGTTTTCTCATGGAAATCAATTTGATAATGAAATTATATAAACAATATTTCTATAGCCATATGCATGTTAAAAAATTAATACCAAAAATTGTATCTTTACAAGATCTCCATGTACGTGTGCAAAATCTTGTTTTCAATTTATGTTTCTGAAATATACTACACAAAATAAAAATTTGGACTAACATCTAAATTATTTCATGACCTACCGGCTTAATTGGTATCATTAGCAGTCTAACTTCAGCAGATTGTAAATGTTTACTCAACACTTCCACATCAAAATGAAAATGATCCAGAATATTCTGGTGAAACAATTATATCAGTTCAGTAAACTGTGAGACAAAACGATGCACACAATTAATTAAACATGTAATTTTGATGGTGTCTTCAGTAATAACAAATATATTTCACGAGCGTTACTAATATTTTGATATTTTAAGTGGGAATGATATCAAATATATTAATAGGTCACTCTACAGGGTAATGATAGTGGGATTACCAGTAATCTATGATAGTGGGATTACCAGTAATCTATGATAGTGGGATTACCAGTAATCTATGATAGTAGTAGACTATAACCATTCATTTATGATATTGAATTTACAATAGTTTGTGATACTGAACTCACAATAATTTGTGATATTGACCTTACTTGTACTTTAAAATCGTGGGTTAACCAGTAATTGTTGTCCATTCATTGGTTCCCAGTAACTTCTAACAGAAACTAGGTTTCATTTTATAATAGAGAAGTTGCATTAAAGAGCTAATATGTTCTATATTAAAAGTATGTTGATGTGATACTATATACCTATCTACTATCTACAGTTAAAACTGTTACATTTCTGTGGTGATCATTTTCTATATTTTCTATTGCTGACATTGCTAGTTAAGAACCACAAACAGACTCTCCATAAACACATTTCCTACACTGGGACACCCCCTGGTAAAAACAGCCACCCAAAGCCATAGCCATATTTGTTCATTTACAACACAGCGACTAGTGATCTCTCAGTAGGCAGTGTCTCTGTCATGTCAGTACGCAACAGACTGTCATAAGGTAAACAAAAAATACAAAGCAATATGTTTACAATTTGTATGACTGTAAGTATGGTCATTGATTGTTCTTACCTTACAATCATGTCAGTGTACATGTAATTCTTATAGTTTCTATTAGAATTACTTAACTTACAGAATGACTCAATTTTTGCACAAGAAAAAGTTCTTCACACAATAATAAACAGAAATCCCCCCCTTCTAGTGACACACAAGGCTTTAATTTATAAAACAGGGATGTACAGTTGAACGAATGTCCTTAAATTAATTCTTTTTAATGAAAAAGTTAATGTTTTGAAATTACAATAAAAAAATAAGGGTAAGCTTTAATAAAAATAAAAATATGTTATTTCCTCCAATTATATAAGGTAAAATAGTTTCTGGTTTGTAAGCTTATTTTGATTTATATCCAGATTTTGTTAAATTTGTATTGAAAGTGAAACATCAATATTTGCCAAGTGAGTGACAGCCTGATCTGAAAACAAAATGATTCTATCTTTTAAGTCAACCATTCTGTACACCCCTGTATAGAAAATGTGAATTCTGCAAACTGGAAGAAAGAATAAGTGCAATGATAAATATCAAGGTGAAAGGATTGGAGAAGTGCTGGGTAAAGGAGTATAACATCTGTAGCACAGCGCGCAGGGACAGAGGAAGAGTAACACTCAGGCTTCAGGGCACAAACCATCTTACATAGCTTTCTTCCCTTTTTCATGAGTTTTTTTCTCCTAGCATCTGCTTTTTCTGGAATAAAATGGCATGCAGGTGTTGACAGATCTGGAGTACAAACATGATGTGACAGTTTAATGTCTAATCTGTGGACATGCCGTCACTACCTATAATGTATACCTACAGTCAACACAGTTACAGTACTCAAGTCGCAAAGGGAGACCACTCTCCAATCAGATGTACCTTCAACTAAAGTACACGGTCTTGATCTCCAACACAGATTCACCAGATAATTAGATTTACACGTTTAGTGCCTGACACTTGTTACTGCTTCTATTTCTTTATCATGATGTTAACCATGTATAATAATTTTGTTCTGGAATTTGAAAATAATAAATATATGTCGATTAAAAACATTATGGGTTTTTCTGTTGATTGGCTACCAAATTGTTTATTTTGCTGAATTACATATCAACTACGATGTGATGTTAATGAGATTTAATATCATATGCTTGTACTAGATGGAGTCCAGTTTCGTATATAGAGGATATCTACTGAGTGTGGAAGGGTTAATTATCACTTGTTATATATCCATTTGAGTGAATTAATTATGTAGTACGACTCCTCCTTGCCAGCTTCATCTAACTTAGTAGTTTAAAATCTCTGGAATTAATTTACTAAAACATAGCAAATTATCCTGAATTATTTTATTTTATATATGACAAAATTAAAGAAAGATGTGATATTTGTGACATCACAGGAAATCATGTTATTTAAATTTCACACAATGAAATAAAAAGTTATCACAAAATATACAATGGGCTGAAAATGATGAAACCATTAAGAGCTATAGAAGAATTTTATATAGCTATGGGTGAAATATGACAAAAAAATTATCACTAAATATCCAAATGTAACACATTTAAAGAAAAATTGATATGAAACTGTGCATTTTATTAATATTGATGTGGAATAGAAAGAAATCTATCACAATATGACTTTTGTTACTGTAAGTATATTCACTGTACGTCACATGCTGCTACACCAAGGCACGTATTTGTGGAACCCTTCTCATGCTCAAACTCAGATTCTGTGCTCAGGTCAAATTTGTTTCGATGATAAATCATAAAAAACTAGAAAATGTCTGTAAGGCATAAATGCCCCCGCTCATGGATGGGAAGGGAAGGGACGCGACAGGACGGGATGGGACGGGACGAGGGCGGGACGGGACAGGACAGGACAGGACGGGACGGGACGGGATGGGACGGGACGGATGGGACGGGACGGGACGGGACGGACATGGACAACACTATATGCCCCCCCCCCCCCCCATTTTATGGCGGGCCTAAAAATACATTTCGTCAATGATGTGGAAAAGTTTTGAATAGACTTGATTAGATCCAAATACTGCAGTTTTCAATGTTTACACTGGACTTTTTGGCTGTGTAACATCGTTTTAGCGAGTTGCAAGAAAGCTGGCTTGAGCACAGAATTTGTTCTTCAGCATGAGAACGGTTTTATGACTATGAGCCCAGGACTCACAGTACTACACATGTAGGTGCTAACGGTTACATCCAACAGAAACATGCAAAGTGCATACAATATAGATTTATCACTGAAATAAATAGCACAGTAATTAATAATAATAACTTCAGGTTCTTATATATACACCGCTTTATCACAACCTAGTCTGTAGGTCGTCTCAACTCCTTAGGGAGCATACAGCCGGTGCTACCATTTCGGCGCTCACAGTTAGCATTCAACAATTCTAGCACTGCCCAACCACCTACTAATTTACAGCTGAGTATACTGGAACAAGAGGAGTAAAGTATCTTGCTCAAAGATGCAACACAGTGCCGTGACGTGACTCGAACATGCAACCCTTCGGTCACGATCCTGGTGTCCTACCACTAACTAATGGCCTCCAACCAGTAAACAATTTTGTAGTGGATCTGAGGTACTATCAATTAAGATTGATTAAGTGTCCTGGTAAATTACCTGACAGATCATCACACTTGATATAAAATATATGTTGTTAACATTATAATTGATTCTATAACGGCAAGAATATTCTCATTTCTTATTGACAAAACAAATAACAATAATGAAAACCCTATTATATAATAAACATAGGTAACATACTCCTTAATGCTAAAGTTAAGATTTTCGTTAATTCTTTTGGCCTAACTTACGTTTTATGGCAAGAGTCCTCATGGTGCGGTTCATCTGTTTGAGGAGATCATATTTGGTGTAGCCACTCCCCAGGATGAGGTCAATCTCAGAGAGGCCGCTAGGACTGTCCGGTGGGGAAAGGTAGGTATCCGTGGGAGCCAGGGAGTAGTCCGACTCAGACTCAGAGGACTGGAAAAAATACCAGTAAAACTATACCTTCCAACGCATTTACAAAACCTTATAGATTCCCCGGCCAACTTTAGACTATATCCCATTTTTTGAGATAGGTGATTTGATGACATATATAGTATATTACAAATTCAAATTACACATGATTGTTTTACCTCATTATAATTAGGAACCTATATTGACAGGCTACAATGTAACTGTACTGATTGAAGCCTATAATGGGTTCTAGGTACATTGTATGATTGAACCCTATAATAGGTTCCAGGTATAATGACAAGCCCCAGGTATATATGACCCTTTAACAAGCTCCAGGTATAATGACGAGCCCCATGCAGGTATGAACCTATAACGACAAGCCCCAGAAATGGCCCTATATCAAGCTCCCAGGGATAATCCTGGAGGGGGCCATGGGGCCATCGACCCCTCAAAACTGAAATTGACCCCTCCATGTTCCAATTTTCTTTTAATTTTACATACAAATTTGCCACCCTTAATTTTGATATTAACTAAAAACTGCTGAAATGGCCCACTGCTCTCAAATTCCAGGATTTTCCCGGAGCTCCAGATATAATGACAAGCTCCAGGTATAATAGGACCCCATAACAACAAGCTCTAGGTATAAAGCATCTTTATTATCTGGTTATCTAGGTGTAGCGTCCTCACAACTACCAGGATCCTAACTAGAAAGTCAGCACTTTTCTAAAATCTATTTAACATAAGGATAGACATAAAAAGTGAGCCTGGAGAGATCAACTGTATACATTATAAATGCGACAAGAAATAATTACAACACCCACAACATCAGAAGATTAAATATTGTTCAGCTATTTCAGCGTATTCACGCACTCTGTAACATCTCACCTCTTTGTCCTCCTCAGCGTGAGCAGTTTTCTGCTCTATAGGGAGCTTGCCCTCCAGGAAGTCCTGTGAAAACTGTATCTTATATGGCACCTGGTGATAAAAATTTATAATCACATCAAACAAAATTCTTTAAATAAGAAACTTTCTTTAATCATTTATATAATATATAAAATTTGACAGATTTATAAGAGCAGAGATAAACACAGTTTGGTATACAATAACAAATTACTGACCAGGTAGGTATCCAGAGTCAGTTCATCCGTGTTCTGCAGTCCTCCCTCGTACAGCACATCAGGGTTCTCGTAGATATCAGACTCTGTAATCCACAAAAACAAAGTCAACATGGGCATATTATCAAATGATGGTCAGAAGTAGGCAATGCCAATAAACCTCTCCTTAAAATTAAACAAAAAAAGATGCAAGAGAATTTTACATTGCGTGATACTTAGTTTTCTTGGTTTGTTATTTGATTTAATGTACAAAAGGTTTTTTTACCTGTATCCGAATCATAGTCCCCCTCATCTTCTGGCAGCTTCAAGTAGGGACAAACTGTAAAATAAATGTTTTTTAGTTTAAGTAACTTGACAAAGAATTCCATCAATTAAATGTGTAATATTTCGTAATTCTCCTCCTCATCCCCTTTACACTAAATTAGTTCAATTAACTTGTGACCTTGACATTAAACTTCTGGACACAGCTGGCATAAATTACTAAGTCATATTTATGTTTGTGACTACTTGCAGAATTTTTCATATTTTTCTATTTGTTATTTCTTGATTTTTTCTTCCAGCTGGTCACTAGCAAACAGTTAATTATACAAATTTTGGAAAACCTTCATTTCTTTGAAAACAAAAATGATGTCTAACAAGAATTCCACGGAAGTGGATGTGTCGCCTGCGTAGGAAGCTGGGAGATAACGCACCAGCAAGACCAGCATCGCCTCATTGGTATTCATAAAAATATTCTTGAAAATGCAAGTATGCTTAGCACTGCATGAAGTTTGAGTTTGATCGGCCCAAGGAAACTCAAGTTATCGCACGAAAACATATTTTCTATTTATAGTAACAGTGACCTTGACCTTTGACCTTTGGACCTGAAAAGCAATCCCAAGCAAGCACTTTTGGTAAGGAAATACTGCATGAAGTTTGAGTTTGATCGGCCCAAGGAAACTCAAGTTATCGCACGAAAACCTCTGTGCGGACGTCGCCGACACCGACATACATGTAGCAATACCTATGTGTCACCAGCTTTTCGCAGGCGACACAAAAACTGGACCTTAGTTGTGACCTTGACTGTTGACATTTTCTCTGCAGCCTAACCTTTCCTTACATCTTAATGGATATGTTCTCATTACTATTTTGAAAGAAATTGATGCTTTAAAAAAACTTGTATCAGTTTTACCAGAGTAACCTTGACCTTTGAACTTAAGCCTCTGTAGCCTTAGCTCATGTGTCTGTATGTAAACATTGGTATCTAGTGTGATAACAGTAATATCTGACCTTTAACCTCCTCTGCCTTGATCTTGATTCCTGATGTAAACAACTAGTCTATGAGTAAGTTTACTTATTTTCCACCCATTCATTTGACAGGATACATCAGGATGGGTGCTACACATGCTGCGGAAGAGCACCTTGTTTCGCCTCCATTTCCTTTTGTAAGTGTTTTAATGTCTTTCCTTAGTTTTTGTATCATATTTGAATTTTGTTTGGTTGACAGTGCGTGCCTACCTTTAGTTTGGTTGACGTTGTGTGCCTTTCTTTAAAAAGGCTGACAATAACGTCCCTACCTTTAGTGTGGTCGATGAAGTAGATATGGTTTTGGAAGCCCACCAGGAGATCACATTGAGCATTGAGGAAGCACAGAGCAGTGAGAGAATCCTCCATGGTGATCTCTGTCAGCAACACACAGAACTCATCCCAAATCTTAATGGCTCCATCCATACTGAAACCCAAAAATATCATCTAAGGATTCAAATAATGGAATAAAGGAGGTGGTATATCAGTACAGAATGCATATGGCAGTAAATAGTCCATCCCTTAATCATAATTTTCGATATAAATATACAATTGAAACTTGTCTGATATTATGGTCCTTAATTAGTGTTTCAAATCGATGGAAATCCTTCAAGGAATGAAGCAGTTACACAGCACAGACAATGATCTTTTTAAAAATAGTAACGGTGACCTTGACCAGACAATTCTGCAAACCAATTATGGAAAAGTAAATAAAAATTAAATAAAAATAAACAAAATGCTATATAGATAATATAAATAAATAATTATGATATTATTATTACAATTTGTATTATCATGATTAATTATACAAAAAATTAAAATGAGATTGTATTATTTCCAGTGCGTGTAATCACGGACTTATGCAAGTCCCTTTGTGTATCTCTCCTTCTCTCGATATTGTAACGAAGGTTAAAGACCTATATAATTATTCAGTTTCTGGTTAATCTGAATAATATGTATATACGGTTTTAGTTTTTGATGTTCAATATGCTATATTCACGAAGCACTTGTATTACTGTATACTAATCGGGCCATTATCTAGAGACTGTATTGGGAAGCTATCTACAAACTCGTTAGGCACAGCTGCTGGCTACTTTAGTATAAGTCAACATTCTCTTTCACTTGGAAACTTTCCAATGAGACAAAGAAAACACGAAGCCTACTTTATCAAGTTTGATTTTTTTTGTCTTATACAGATATGTTGTACCATATAATTATAGCATTGATCATATCATGAAATAATGAACACATTATCTAAAGATCTTTTGCGGAAGGAGATAAAGTGTTGTTTGGGTTTTTTGTTGAAAAATTATTCGGTCCAAAAAGCGTAGTAATCTGAGATTGATATAGTTCATGATGCCCATTGAAAAAACTTGCCTTTTCGTAAAATTTTAACATTTTTTCTTTGATTTATTGATCGTTTTCATATGTATTTCATCACTTTATAGCATTAATCATACCATGAAATAATCAACACAGCATTTAAAGATCTTCCGCGGAAGAAGAAAGTCTGTTGTTTGGTTTTGATTTGCCCAGGCTTGGTGAGGACCGCTATGAATGCTGTACACGGCATCCAAAAAGTTAATAACTTGTTTAATAACTAAACAACAATACAAAAACACATCATGAGGACATATAGCTCTGAGTATTTAAATTGAATTCTAGAAAGTTCAATAAATTCAATCACTTATTTGTTTAATAACATATTGATTTAGGTGAACCAGTAATTATAAGTAGCCCATATACATTGCAGAGCACACATAATCTAACAGACCCTACCTGGCAGAACAGAAGATCCGGAGAGAGGAGGCGGCGTCCAGGCCTACAATAGGGCTGTTATGTTCCAACTTTTTACCACTGATGCCCAAGTCCTTCTCATCTACTGTCTGATCTTCATCTTCTATAAAGTACCAAAAAGAACTTGTCAATGATATAAACTGAACATAAAAAAGAGTGAAAGTGTAAATGTTTTCGTAGCAGCAGAGAGTGGACAGGACTTAGTATGTTTACCGACAGATTATTATAAGATTTCCTACTGTAAGTATTCTAACCAACAATGGTTTCCACCTCAAACATCAGGAAACTGTCATCAATATTTCCCATACCCCCATTCCAACCAGAGATGGTTTTAGATTGTCCACAATCTGTCACATCTTTTCCCATTCCAAATATACCCAGTAATAATTTCAAGGCTTCAAGAGCCTGTCCTCACCTCTTTTTATATATCCCACACCCAAACATTGATGGTACCCGGACCGCTTGAGTCTGACTGCACCCTTTTTCTTCCATCTTAAATCCAACCATCAATGCTCCCCATGTTTCAGAAGCAGCCTTCAGACTCTCCATGAGACAGCGAATCTCACATTCAGTATTAGAAGATTATGATGCTATTTTTACCCTTTAACAGAGTCAATGTACTGACCTTTAGACTTCAATGCCCCCGACTCATCAGCAGGCAGTAAGTAGTGGAAGTAGACAGCGCCGCTCTGGTGGCCAGTCAGGAAGGAGTAATCCTGTCACACGAGACAATAGTCTCACATCACCATATTATAACATGTTATTCATATTTATACGGCAATATGTTGCTGAATGTTACTATACTGTATACATCCTACTCTTAAATATAAATACATTTTACATTTTACAACAATCTAATTTCTGAAGTTTAAGTGGGGTATAAGGCTGCTTGTACTTGTACGTGTGTAAACAGAAATCAAAAGCATTTTTTTTCCTAAACCATATAGTTTTTTGGGTTTTTTTTACTCTAAATCAATTACTTAGAATAGTGACCTAGCTTTAAGCTTCAGACAGCCAACATGTAAGAATTGAATGGGAAAATAAATATCATCATGTTGTATATGTACACCCCACAGACAGAAGTACACATACCAGTCTGGTGAAATGCTGGACGTCCTGCCCGCAGCACACCTCGTGTTTAAGTGTGAGGTTGGGCAGGTCCCAGATCTGGAACAGGGCGTGGGAACTCATCTGACACATGGTGATCAGGGCCTCATGGGCCACGTCATGCTTCATCATCTGGATCTGAAACACAGATAAACACTGTAATTAGTACTCCATTAACACTGCTGTCTTAACGACCGTTCTGAGCTTTTTTAATTTGTTTTCATTTGATAAGTTCATCATGTACAAAAAAATACAAGTTGTAAGCTTATTAAAGAGAACAGTTATTTGCAGATTTTGCTATTCAGAATAAGGCATAAACAGCTCCATTTATATTCAATCATCCCCAATCACCAAAATTCTTTAAAGACTTTAATTAACCTCATGTGAAAAGGCATTTTAGGGGAAGAATGAAGCTTTTCTTTTCATTATCTTTCTTATTAATGGATTAATACATTAACTTTTTAGCACACAAATCACTATCTTGAGTTATCAATGAGAATAGGATGCATACAAATGCCTTTGATTGAAGTGCAATTTTAAAACAAGTGAGATCCTCTGATGTATATACTTAATGGTCAACAGTACTAGTCTGGCTATATTATTCAAAATTTCTATTTTACCATGACACTCAAAAACAGACACTCTGGATTCTTTGTTTTGAAGTGCATTCCAGAGACTTATCACATATTTATATCACCACATTTTTTTTATTTTTTAAAGATTAAAATAAATGTCTAGTGTGAGTGGAGAATGATTGTTTTTCTCCCACTCCCGGATAGAAATTAGTTCATCTATATACATTATGATAACTCTGATTAAAAAGGGACAGCATTGAACAGTTTTCATTGTGATGTTACACATGTATATCACATCTAATTTTAGTTCAGAATGGGTATATTGATGTCACTTACCGGTACAGTCAACAAGGGAGAAAACTCTATGAACCGTTGGGGGGAAAAATGAATCAAAAAAAGGGAATGGCTGTGTCACTTAAGTATATGTTCAGGCATGAACTTTGTCAAACAGACAATTGACCCTGAGCTAGATTTTACATTTTCAAACTAACACTTCTGCTGACAAAGAGACATTCGACCCTGACCTTGTCCTTGTTGGCCTTGAACTCCATGTACTTCTGTCCACGAATCACTGGGTCCATAAATAGAATCCGACCATCCTAAAAACAGATAGGTTTCACAGAAATGCTGATGTATAAATTGGGTATGAAATTAAATACAACAGTAATTCAGAATGATACAAACCATAATGTTTGCTTTCTTTGTCCTTATATTATGGAATTGGACTGTAATACATAACTTCCATAACTTGATCGTCATTTGTCACTTTTACCTCCTTAATAGGGAAAAACCTTGAATTTGAGAGCAGTGGTCCAATTTTCAGCAACTTTTAGTCAATGTGAAAATTATGAGGGGCCATTCTATGTAAAATTAAAAAGAAAATTGGAACATGGAGGGGTCAATTTCTGTTTTGAGGGGTCAATGGCCCCATGAACCCCTCCAGGATTATCCCTGCCTAACCAACCAACAGTAGGTATACATATCTTTGTCCAGAACTGTATACAGAAAAAGATCTTTGTTCCCAAAAGTTGATACCTACCTCCATCCCCAGTAGAAGGTAGCTGTGACGTATAGGACAACAGTTGCCCTCGTCCGTCCACATGGTGGCTGAAGAGTTGAGGTCACACAGACTGTAACAGTTACACACCACCTCGTTCCCGGTCCCGTTTTCTGTGGCACGGTGGATTGGTATGCCCTTCGGACCAGTCCTGATCAACCAAAATTAAAGGCAACACATTTATTGACCATTACCTATGATGAAGAACATCTAAAAATTCCTGCATTTTTCACTAACCTTGCAGTTTAAGAGATTCTTTATATTTGATTATGAAAGATACATATAGGTAATGAATTAAGAAGAAAACCTTCTGCAAAACCTTAGATATTACTCCAGCTCATAACACATCATTGTTTGTGTTTTACGTCCTATTCACAGCTTTGGTCATTTAAGGACGTGCCAAGGTTTGGTGGTGGAGGAAAAGCGGAGTTCCCCGAGACCAGTCACCACTGACCTACGGCCAGTACCTGGGGACTGCCCTACATAGGTCTCGAACCCACAATTAACCTAGCGATGGAGGGCTAGTGGTAGCAGAATGTCAGACACCTTAACCACTTGGCCACCACGGCCCTAACACATCATACAAATATGAATAATTACTGTTTGTTATAAATCGACAAAACATGTACATATTTCCTGTCAGCTTCCATGCTTGCAATGACGTCATCTGAATGTAAATCTTGAGAGTGTATTGCTGGCTTAATTGTGATGTCACAATTAAAACAATGCTAGATGAAATGCAATCTGAGACTAACTTTACTTACATCCCCATGTACCTGATTTCTTACCCAGGGTATTCCCTATTGCACACAGGGATAAAGGATATATAATAATATCTCATAACAGCATCAAGCTCAGTGTATCATAATTGGATAAAACACATTTTATGATATTTTCCAGGTGACTGTCCACTGTAGTTTTATTACATGAAAACATTATTTCTTACCTTACACCTCTTTCCTCTCCCCTTCCCTTAGAGCCGGTGATGTAAGGTATCTGTAAGTTGTGGACGTCCCACACAGCAATACGACAGCATGGGTCAGTCCTGGACAAGAACGAACATCAATAAAATTGTCAAATTTATCACTTAAGATCATTACTTCAGAATTCAAACAATTGAAATTTTCTCTAAAGGATGTACTGGTATCATATTACTCCTAGAAACTCAATATCATAAGTGAAAAGACACCCTTAAAGTAAGTACAACACACATATTTATAAAGCATTGTATAACATTTATATAATATCAGATTAGAAATTGATAACAATAACTAGTATTACAGTGAAAGACCTTGAGCTGAGAAAGGTCACCAGGTGAGCACCTACCTGGAGGTATAGACCCAGATCTCCTGGGGATTAATGAGAAGGAATATAACATCAAATTCCCTACTGTAGCATACACTCATCACTGACTGGAGGGGAGGCACCACATGCGGGGGTAGCACCGTCGTCAGGTTCTTAGACGTTTTTCTGTGGAACAGCCGGACACTGAGGAGGAAATGTAATATTGGTGATATATATACACTGAAAACTTCTTTGTTTTTTCCATATTACATACACAATACACAATGTATCATCATATGTATGTCTGTTATTTTGTGACGTGTAGCGGCATGTCCATGTTCCCAGTGGACTTACAAACACACTAATACATCTGCACAATTAACATGCAAAATTTATGCATGGTACGTCATACTAACAATTGTTCTTGACATGAACGGTATTATTCCTGTGAAACATTACTTATAGCTATCCCAGATGAACATTCAATTTACTTCCCAAAAAATTGAACCAATCAACAATTACATGTATATTTGCAGACAAAATAATGTTGATTGAAGAACAATGTCACATTGCCATAAAGTAATACTAATCCAGCCAAAACTGTTTTGAAGAAGCTGATCAATAAACGCACAGAAGTTATATTATGATCTCTCTGAAAAATCAATTGCAGGAAGTTTAGGGTGGGGAAAAGCAATCCCCAAAAAGAGAGGAGAGTCAGTGCAAGGGGAGGTAACCTTACCTACTGTCATCTCCTAGAGACACAACCCGGGTTGTTTTACTCTCGTGGCCTGACAGAGAAAGACGTGTGACACGGTTGCGGCTGAGTGCCCAGAAACTGTAGAACTGATTCAGCGACCATAGCGTGATGTTACGACACGTACTAACGTAGAGAATATTGTCATCTGTGAGGCCCATCCATAGTACACCATCTGATGATACTGTGATACTGGAAACAAAAATAAAGTTTAGTCCACAAAAATCGTATCTTATAAACATGTATTTGCCAACAGTATAAAATGAATCAATGCTTACACACCTGCCAAGTTAAAACAAAAATGAAGTTAGGACCACAGATGATGAAAATGCAAGTCAAGTCAGCTAACTGCAGGTCATTTATCAATGTAAAATGTTCAAAGATATAAAAATCAGTCGTATTACATTTATACTATTAAAATTTGCATTTTACAAGACAAATATGTATTTTTTAAGGAGTAATTAATTAAGAATTTCAAAATTTGAAAAGGTGATTTTTAAACCTTTTCATTTTAGGAGAAGCAGTGCAAATGAAGGAGATTCAAAAATATACTACAATCTGCATAGGTTATGGAGGTAATTTGTAGATTGACCTAGACAAACACAGGTGACTTGGCAGATATGTGCTTATAACACATCACTTCAATATTAATAAAACTCCTTTTATAGTTTATGAAAGCTAGGACAATGGGTAAGATATTGAATTAGCATACTTGTAGACAAGTTCCATTGTGTCCAGTGACCACATCCTGATGGAGCCGTCCAGAGACGCGGTGACGATGAGAGAGGATGAGTCGGGATGCAGCAGTAGGTTGGTCACTGCACGAGAGTGACCTCGGAACGAGTGTACCATCCCTCCCATCAGACTCCACACCTTCACTGTGAGTATATAACATAAACCTTGACCTACACATGGCATACATCAGGGTACTATACAATTCAAGTCACCTTGAAACATCTTTTACAACATTTAAACTAATTAACATCAAGATGACAATCAAGTCAATTTTAATATCAGACTTTTTTTTAGAGAATTTACTGTATATTATTTTTGAAACAGAAAAACAATGCCAGTTTTTTTCCAAACTGACCGATTCTTAAAATGTAAAGAAACATCCAGTCGCAAAGGGGTTGAAAATGTACCACAACTGTTAACCCTTTCACTACTGTAGGCCATAATGGACTCATCCAGATCAATGCATAGTAGAGTCTACTAAAGTTGCATAGGGGTGAAAGGGTTAATACAGTCAAACCTATCTATATATAGACCACCAAGGTTCAAGACTAAAACAAATGTTTTATAAACAGGTTGTCATTACATAGAAAATACAATTTGGGATATTCTTAAGGTAGTAGGAATAGGCAGGTGGTCTTTATAGAAAGGTAGTCTGTATTGCAAACTGGTTTTAATAGTCAGGTAGTTTTAAAGGTGTGTTTTATGTATGATGTTAAAGATAAATGCTGTTTACCTTCGCAGTCAACAGAGGAAGTGATAAGGACCTTGGCACTCTGGGAGTAAACACAACCCGTGATCGACATCGTGTGGGCCCTGCAGAGACACGCAACAAACAGAATACATCAGTGTAATAAATATATAGATTATATACATGTTTGAGTAATAGATCTCCTCAAGTTATCGTCAATATAAGACAAGTTATAGGTTTCACTGATGTAACACAGGAAGCTGGTTAAATACCATTCAGGTTAGTCCTTAACTATTTCTTTGTTATATTTATCCTGTTTGGAACTGGATATTTTGTGCCAGCAAATATGCATGTATTTCATACGTACATCGTTTGTGTAAACGTTTAATATGTACATCGTTTGTGTAAACGTTTAATACGTACATTGTTTGTGTAAACGTTTAATACGTACATCGTTTGTGTAAACGTTTAATATGTACATCGTTTGTGTAAACGTTAATACGTACATCGTTTGTGTAAACGTTTAATACGTACATCGTTTGTGTAGAAAGTAACACTTTGATATCACATATTTCCAAACTGATGAATCTTATTGAAGATATATGTATGTTCTATACATGGCATATTCATCAAATTTTAGTGTTAAAGGGTACGCTGAGAAGGGGGGGGGGGGGGTACTTAATATATTTGAGAGTATAACGTACTTCTCATATTTGAACAGTCTTTTGCCCTGGAGGTTGTAGACATGGAGGTCAGTGTCGGAACAGAAGTACAGGTGTTGGAGGTGGTGGTCCAGCTCAACCTTCTTCACCCAGCTACCACCCACATTCTCCAGCGTCTTTCTGCAACACCATATCATATACAGTACATTTACCGGTACTCATACCATATACATACACTAATCTAATACATGTCCATTTATCATATGTATATGTATATCATATTGTATACCATATAATATATACAAACAATATATAAATGTACCACATCCATGTCACCTATGTCTAGGTAATTAGCAACACCTGTCTGTAAAGAATAAATATTACCATTTTAGTTTTTTTGCAATTTTCCCAAAAAATAAACATCTGAAATTATATTTAATTCTTAAATATTTAATTATACAACAACTAATATGATACTGAAGCAGCTTTATATAGACAGCATGAAAAGCTAAGGATATTTTGATGAAGTCAAAGAAAAACATCAAAACAGTACACTATACACTATCCATTGACTCATTTATAGTTAAAATATCCGCCTCATCAATATCGCAGAAAATGATCCATAAATGTCTCAGTAAGTTATTAACATTATCATAAGTTATTCATCTGTCAATCAGTAAATTAATCATCTTCCATCATGTTATAATCTTTATCCCTAGCGAGATTGATCCACCTAAACATTCACAGATTAATATCATTACACTAACTATCACCTGTTAAATCATCCATTCTTACTGCAGGTGTTATTCATGGTTACATATGATACATGTAACTAAATAACTCATCTGTGTACTTACTCTAGATGTAGTTCATAGTTGGATAGGGGTTTCAGTTCCATGAAAGAACTTCCAGCTGCTTGGCGAAATGACCAGATCTGTTTTTGTTTTTTAAGGGAAAAATAAATAAATATAATTATGTATTTGTTACTGAATTTGTGCCAGCCTTACTATGCATGTAATTTTGATACTAGTACAACATGTATGTGTACTTCAAATGGCAATTATTTACTGTTATCCACAGGCTCATGCCATTGGTTCTACACAATATTAAGCGATGACAATTGCTAGCAAATTTTAGAAAAAGTCTGTTGAAAGATTTGATACACATTTATCTTGACATAATGTACATGTATCGATGATAAAAACTTTTCTAAGAATTAGGTAGAAGGGGCATAACTCCCTACATCAACGTGAATAAATCGTCAGACTTAAAGATCCTTGTACATTGTACCACTGTAAAATCCTATAACTACATATTGGAAACTGTTTTTATCTGGGTGACTAAAACTTTGAAACAGCATTTCTGTAAAGAAAATCATACCTGCGCAAGTGCGAGACTTTAACTTGAAAATTTAAAAATTTAATAAAATATCAAATCAACCAGATAGGCAAAATAAAAATAGAAACTGCATTTCATACTTTCAGATGTACGTTTTCAAGCAGAAGTCTTGTTTTTGTTTGGCGTTATTGTGTTACCTACCTTGGTTCCGTCGACGCCCCCAGTAATGAGCTCATCAGTCACGGAGTTGAACACCATAAACAACACTGACCTTAGTCCAGCTTTGACATTACACGTCTCGTCAAAGTCACGGTTCAACACCTACATGACATGTGTACATTTTTTTAATATTTTACATCTTGATCAATGCAGAATCTAGGGTCATATGACGATTAGACACTATGATGTGTGTGTCATCTGACCCATCATCGATGCACTTTGAAACTTGTGTAATGCACATATGATCTCATTTTTAATCTTCTATCTCAAAAATGCAAAAAAATTGTCTGTGCTATATGTATAGTCTGACAACACCTATCTTAGTCCCTGAACACATAGCTGTCAAACCTCCCTCATTAGGAGGGAGACTCCCTCATTTTGACCAAAATTTACCAATCCCCCTCGAAACTCCATCATTCAAGTCCAAAAACTCACACGAATTCAAAATCTACATCCTGTAGTCAAATAATCTTCTAGTTAATTCAATGTGTGTGTTATGATCATAACGGGTGTGTCTGGATCAAATGAATGCTTTTAGGAGTTATTTTGATACATAAAAAGGGAAAGATAAATTGAGCAAAGCAATTTCAGTCCCATTTCACATACTTTCTCCCTCATTGGAAATGTGGAATGAGGGAGATCTCCCTAATTGGAGGTTTCAGAGATTGAAACCTAAATGTGAATACCGGTAATTTCCAACAGTGAAATTCATAAAGAAATATATATATCAGTAATATAAAAATATTTTATGTCATAATAATGAAATAGTGTTAACAAGAATACTCAACACAAACACCATATTTAGAACTAAGACCTATATATAGAACTGGCGTACCTTTAATGAAAAATCTTTGGACAAGGCGAAGTAGCAGTTATACTTTTTGGCGTAGACAATGTAGGTCAGAAGTCTGTATTCATACTTAGGGTACAGCAGATTCCTCATCACTGAAACACGGAAGGAATGACAATAAAATACCTACTCCAGTCACTGTATTTAGATGTTAAATACTTCAAGCTTTCATCAACTTGATATATATACAATGTATTTATATAACCTACTATCTACATGTATGTGTTATGAAGGTAGGAGACAGCTACGTATACTAGACGTTGCTACTAGATGTTCTTAGAAGTTGAAAACAGCATTACGATGACACGAAAATGTAATTTGTCCACTGTGATGTCATAAGTCAAATGACATCACAGCTATCAGCTATTCCATCACTGATTAGAACTATATTTTCCTTTCAAAGTAAATTTTAGTAATTATCATATGTACATGAAATTAAAAAGATAAAAATAATAGAAAGATCATCACCTTTTGCATTCTGAGTGACCTAACAGAGAATAATTTTTGTTGTAATGTGGTGATCAATGTACAGGTCACCTGTTAATTGACCAATGCCCACATACTTATCCAAAGTTACTGTATAGTTAATATGTGTACTGTTATATACATAAAACTTTTTAGGCTATACACTGTTATACAGTAAAACCTAAATCTGTTTTATATATTCATCAATGATGTTTTTGGTTGAGGTGAATATGTGGTTAAATGAAAGCTGAGAAAGAGATTTTAAACACGATGAAGTCAAAGTAATAATTATATTCACCGAAATAAAAGTACATAACTGGTATCACAGAGATAATCCCGTAGGAGGCCATGGGGTCATTGACCCCTCAATGTTCCGATTTTCTTTTAAAGATTTTCCCTAGTATCGCCTACCTCCATGTAACCAAAAAGGATGTAGGATAATAAGTGTCATTTAATAGTATCACCTACAGATATATATCTGTTGTATAATAATAATACCCCTATATACATATATATCAACACCTACCCCTGTTATCTACATTGTCCCGTTTCCAGGAAGTGATGCCTTTACTGTCCAGAATAATGAACTGTCTCATTCTGCTGTTGTATGCCACTGTTTAAATATAATGTTTAAGTGCCTATCAAAACAATGTTATATATATATATATCCATCAACAATCCATGTCAAACCATACTATGACTTGTTAAAGTTTAAATTATGAGAAAACATCACTAGAAATCAATTAAATTTTTCATTTGTTGAAACAATAATAATCTTTAGATAACATTTACACCTTCATTATAAACCTCTTTGTATATTCGGAATAATATCTACCATTACTTATTTAAATTATCTCGGTATCATAGCACTTTTACAATTGAGCACATACTTACACCCCATAATATCAGCATTTTTCTTGCCGTGCTCATACGTTGCTCTGGGCTGTATACCAAAGGGAATGTTAGTATATTGTTCTGAAATAAGAATTTGTTTTCCATCGCTTTCATCTGTACCCGCACTGGAAAGTGATGTAACAGATTCTGTCCTTTCTAGACTTTTTTCAACCTTTTCCTTTATTTTCTCAAATATTGGATCTTCATGGTCATCTATCAGTGTCTTTTCATCTTCCTCATTTTCATCATCTTCAGCATCAGCTTCATTTCCTTTTTCCAAGTCCTTGTCAATTTCTCGGAGTATTTCCTCAAACTCCTCCCCCTCAGGTACAATTGATAGCTTATGTGTGACTGCCCGAGTCCTAGAGTCTGACTGGAAGCTCACAGATAGGGGAGGTTTAGAGGCCATATTTATTGTTGGAATCTCTGTGTCACCGCTCCCAGAAAAGGCCACATGCTTGTGTCCTGATGGGGGGACTATCACATCTGTGGCAACAGCCATCATCTGCAGACATAAAAACATTGTACCAGAATGTATTATACTTCAACTTCAGCTGAACTTTGGGGTAATGACGCATTCTTATAACAATCTATTGAATATCAAATACTACGGAGGTCAGTAGCACTCAATTTACAAGATTGATGATGTTAAACATTTGGAACACATGCAATAGCATTCAATTTACCAGATTTATAACATTTGCTAAACATTCAGCTAAGGTGTACTATATAGCATGGAGCTTCTCATAAATTACAGAATTCCACATGAACAGACCCCCAAAACCTCTTTTTAAACTTTTGTTCAGACTTTTCTAATTAATTGATGCCATAAACAGGAAAAAATTAATTGATAACAATGGTAATTCCCTAACAATTTAAAAATAGTGCTTATCAAAAATTATAAGGGGAGATAATTCTAATTAAGTTGTAGGTATGACAAGTCAGGTAGGATATAACCTTAAATTAAGCCAATTTATCTTGTGTTAGTGCCTACAGTAATCTGTATATAATTTGATTGTAAAACATAGCTTTATTTAGTAGGAATATAACTTTTAGTCTTATACCACTCTCAACATTATAGTAACTTAACTACCAGGTATCAACACACACCACACCACACTCTTCATTAATAAAAAAAAAACATTTATTTTGAAAATCAGAAAATGAAAGTAAGGGACCATTCTGCTAAGAAAAATTATGATTACAACAAAATAACCATAATTGTAAACATTGTATTGTGACAAATGTCAACAAATTTTGACTAAAACTATGAAAAATGTGAAACTTTTGATATAATGTATTATAGTTGACTGGATAATCATTGATTCATGAGAAATCAAAGAACTGTAACTATGACAGCGACAAAGGAAATAGTAACCAATGACCTTAAAAGAAGCAAATATAAAGTGTTAATGCACATTCACTGACTTACTGAAGTTTTTTGTACACAACTTGTAATGTTTCAGAGATATTCAGTGAATAATATTGTTTCTAGAATGAAGACAAAAGATGAGTGCATGACCTTGAGCACAACATCTTGAAACCTGAAACTCATTCAAGGTAATATCATCATACCTTACACTTGTATGAAGTTCCATTAACATCTATTGAGAAATGAAGTCACTAGAGTAAGGATAATTAGAATAAGGATAACTAGAGTAAGGATAAAGAAGGTGTCCCATGTAACAGCATAGGTTATATACAGAGAGAACCCTATGCTAGTTATTCACTCTAACTTATCATGATGTTTTAGAAATTGTGCTGGCTGAAAAAATGCCTTTTGTCACTTTTACTATTTTCAATTATATCAGCTTAATTCCCAACACTCTTATTGAAACCAGTAAAAATGTATACATTACTGCACTAGATATATATATAGTACACGTACATATGTAGCTGGTATGTGTCTTGCTCCCTGCCCATAACCAGTAACAATCAGCTTGTTTTACCCTTTGGCTTGCAAAATGCTTTGATGTGGGGTTCAGTTTTGAGAAGGAACACAGTTCAACTGATTTCTTTTGCGCTGAATATATTATATACTTACCAGAAATGAAATTTTATTAATTTTAGGACCATAAGTTTTATCTACATCGTAGCTCCTTTGGCTTGACCTATGTTATACCAAGGGACATTTATAATGTCCCTGGTTATACATTATCAATTATATAAAAAGATTTAAACTATCAATTAGTTAATATGACACATCTTTATTCAATTAAATGCATTCACCAACTGGCACATAGATATGCGGTATGTAGTTATAAGGTGGGATATATTACGTTTCAATATACACTATATGAATATTTCATTACTGTGTATCGACAGAGACTTCAAATATAGTTCACTGAATGAAAACAACACGAAATTGGACGAATGCCGAGACTAACGGACGCTTGACATACATATGAAATGACAATTAGCATAGACGAAGTGTATCCGGTGTCCCAAATATCACAGGCCTGTATATATGTACACCATATATATATGTACAATTTCGAGTGTCTGCCATCTAGTGTTTATTTTGGTATACGCTTACTGGTTTCATGAAATCGAAATGGTAGTAATAAAAGCATTAATATTAATAATAAAAGTATCTTGTCATCTGCCAAAGTTAAGCTTAACGTAGGCTACTGGATGATCAGTTGTTTTGAACTGATAGCAAGATCTTATCATCGCAGGACAATAGGATCAGTGGTTGATAATATATAAAATCAACACGGAACTTGTCACCTGTACTGAACTAAAAGATAGAAAATACTCACATGTCCCTCAGCGCGTTAGAACTCCTACATGTTAAGTTGTCCATAAGTTTGTAGCTTCAGTCAGTGCCCGCCATCCTCCATGTTGTTTACGGATAGCAACGATTGCAGCGACGTCTTGGAATTTAGTAAGGGCGATAACTCGATTACGAACGCCAGCACTGTGACAAGGGTTGAATAGAAGAAATTTATTTATACCGTTTCAAACTTTATCAAATGTCCAAATCTGAACGTTACACAGCATAGTAACTATCTAAAATATAACCTGTGCATTACTGAATCTAAACGAGAAAAAGATAGATGTTATAGCGGAAATACCACTAGCATACTAGGGGAGGGGATACATTCAATGAACTATAATCCGTGTTATTTTTGAAAAGGTCATGTACATATAACGGATCTTTTCTTCAATAGGAAAAACACGACAATATTTTTTAACGCACATGTGCATTTTAAATAACTAGTTAATTATGATACCTGTCACTTATAGGGAAACAGCTCTTCAAGTTTCAGATTTACATGTGTATACTTGTATGTATTAGTTTTACTGTCACAAATAAAGTTTCACTACTTCAAGTCACTCTTCAAACCTGACCTTTTGTTTTTCATCTCGTTCTCGACTAGTCTCTGTCTCTATAACTCAGACATTGGGCTTATCTATGAGTATTATTGTTAACCACGGACTTAGATAACAATATATAATTCCGTGGTTAAAACATATATCTGACCGTTCTATATATGAGTGTGTCATGAAATGTTGGTAAGTAAAGGACATACATGTACGTTATTAGGCTAAGTTTGATATATCACTAGGTATTATTTAATACAAGCTCTAAGATTGTTTTCCAAAACCCTGGAAATTGTATGTATGACATATTTGATTATTATATGGTGAAAGCAGAGAAGTATATGGCTTTATATGTCTCTGGTGAAAGCCATCTCGCCTATTATATCTCTCGACATACCATTGCAAATATAATGTCAACTAGTAGTCTCCAATAAGGTTTTACTCATACTGGATATGATTCTCCATTCCCTAGCATTGTTTAAATTCAAATGTAATTAAAATGTTGTGTAACATTTCAAATCAAACCCGACACATGATATATATTGCTCTACAAACGAGAACAAACCGGACGAGAAAGTCAAGCTTTCCAACCGGAGTGGGAAAATAATCTGCCGCTTATAGAAAACCATTGACTGGCTACTTGGAGACAGCTTGGATAAAAGTGGGTATAATCAGGGACAGTATATATATATATATTTATATATACGTCCCTGGTATAATGAAAGTATCAAGCGTGTTCGTCAGCAGCATTGCACGCTGGCTGAATGTAGCTAAAAACACAAGACACATAAATGACACTGGTTTTTGTCATCGTTTGAAAAGTGCTTTCGTGCAATTAGCGGTGTTTGCGTTCCGAATTCCCTGACGTGTAATTGACGTCACGATTTGAAATGGATAGAAAGATTACTATTGCCTAAATCAAGTTAAACCATCGTTCAGGAGATTTGGAAACAATATACTGAGTAAACATGTATGGACAAGTGCTTTGCAGCAGGCCTACATTTTATGTATCGGGCTGTTTGTAGTTGTCGTTTCCCGTCTCCTCCTTTTATGCCACGGTTCTGGCATCAATAACGCCATTCCCATATCCTCATCATTATATATAGTACCACCACCTTCTTAGCTTATCTCAGCCAAACCCACCAATTCTAATTTCTCCTCTGAAACCCATCATTCCTCTGCAATTCCGAAACCCTTCACCAAAAGGTTCCGTTCCATCACCCCTTCCTCCCCAATCTATTCCACGAACGTACATCCCGCCCCTACCACCCCTTTTCAACAACCGCCCCATCTCTCTTCCAATATGTAATATACGGCGTATAAGGTGGCTGATATGTTTCCTTTTTGCTATATTGAGGCTAAATAACGACAATTGTACGGGGCGAAAAGTATAGGATGAAAAGCCCGTGATTATCGTTATAACGAAAGGGCATATATCAGCTGCCGTGGAATGTGTTTGTTTGTCATTAAAAACCACGACATAAGTGGCTATTTTCACGCTGATAATTTTTTCTAATGGAGGATAAATATATCTTCATCATACATCATTACTTAGGCGGGAACATAGATTGTCTGGTGGGGCAATACCTGTGTCGGCGTTTGTTTTGTCTGGACGGAGACGCGATAAACAGTCCCCTGGGAACATACGACAACTGTCCAGACCAATATTCTTACAAGAGTAGATTATTTATATACATAAACAACAATACTTCAGAGGTTATGTATTTGACAACAATGAACATCTCTGACCGCAGGATACACCAAACTTCCGCAGAATAGGAAAGATAAGGTTAACGGCTATTCGGAATATATCGTAGCGATTTTAGGCGGAGTGATATCAAGTCATGCCTTTTATTTTTCGAATATATATGAACTTTAACGATTGTGTTTACCACAGAAGCCCAAAGCTTGCAATTTCCTTTTGACTAGTCTCTTAGCCTCAGGGGAAATATACCTTGTGAAGGGATTACATGTACGTGACGAGGCATACCGAACGTAAGAGCACGAGGCAGACAATTGACAGGGAAATCCTACATGTAGGATGCTGACGTTTTTATTGCATTGTTTTCAACACATAGATGAAGGTGTTCCTAGATCTCGTTTTCTCTTAAACAAAAGCATGTACATGTACGTGCATGAATAATGTTTTTCTGATAAAGCCCTACGCACTGTTCCTTAAAGGACATATACACGTACATGTATGAATGACCGGCGTTTCCAGCAATTTTTCAAGGAATTTTCTATGTTCGTATAGAAGGATGTCAACAAAAGTCGAGTATTTACGGCACACTGTACATTTTCGTGATCAACGATCACACTTTTAACGAACACTCGATATAGGTGAAGCAGTACAATGTCAACGAACAAACGGCTGGTACTGTTGTACACTTAATAAACCAGCGGTCAGTACATTGTAGTTGCCCGGGTTTTTTTCCGCCACATTCTCAAAGACCGCTGGTGTTTGCAGAACATGTCACACTGTCAACGAACACCCGGCGATTGTATAAAAAGTCACACTGTCAACGAACACCCGGCGATTGTATGAAATGTCACACTGTCAACGAACACCCGGTAATTGTATGAAATGTCACACTGTCAACGAACACCCGGTGAGTGTATGAAATGTCACACTGTCAACGAACACCCGGTGATTGTATGAAATGTCACGCTGTCAACGAACACCAAGTGATAGTATGAAATGTCACACTGGCAACGAACACTCGGCGATTGTATGAAATGTCACACTATCAACGAATCCCCGACGATTGTATGAAATGTCACACTATCAACGAATACCAGACGATTGTATGAAATGTCACACTGTCAACTAATACCCGGTGATTGTATGAAATGTCACGCTGTCAACGCACACCCGGTGATTGTATGAAATGTCACGCTGTCAACGCACACCCGGTGATTGTATGAAATGTCACACTATCAACGAATACCAGACGATTGTATGAAATGTCACACTGTCAACTAATACCCGGTGATTGTATGAAATGTCACGCTGTCAACGCACACCCGGTGATTGTATGAAATGTCACGCTGTCAACGCACACCCGGTGATTGTATGAAATGTCACGCTGTCAACGCACACCCGGTGATTGTATGAAATGTCACGCTGTCAACGAACACCAAATGATAGTATGAAATGTCACACTGGCAACGAACCCTCGGCGATTGTATGAAATGTCACACTGTCAACTAATACCCGGTGATTGTATGAAATGTCACACTGTAAACGAACACCCGGTGATTGTATGAAAGGTCACGCTGTCAACGAACCCCCGGTAATTGTATGAAATGTCACACTATCAACGAATACCAGACGATTGTATGAAATGTCACACTGTCAACGAACACCCGGTAATTGTATGAAATGTCACACTGTCAACAGGCTTCTGCTTCTGCCTGGTAATAGTCTCCTTCAACAGGTTGAAGATTCTGCTATGTACGTACATGTAGGTGGTGTGCGGCGTACTGGACTTACGTCGAAAGGATAAAAGTTAATAAAAACAGGATAAAAACAAAGGTCCTCAGAGTTTTGGCACACTGACCTTGAAGGCGTCCAGTGTGTCGGCGAGGTTGGTGTCTGGCGGGAGGGCGTTCCAGTCTTTCACCGTCCTCGGGAAGAAGGACATCTTCCTTGTGTCGAAGGTCTGAATGTGTGTACCACTTCATGGTGTTTGAGATGGTGACGCCGAGGTGTACTGCTGACGGGACTTCTTGCAAGGAATGGCCGCGTAGGTGGTAATCGGTCTTAATTGGATTTCTCTTGTTGGTGACTCTCAAGATATTGCACTTGTCCGGGTGGAACTTCATACACCACTGATCCTTCCAACATCCCAGCTTGTTTAGATCCTCCTGTAGGGTCTTACCGCTGTTTTCTGAGGTAATGATGGGGTAGGCAATAGTGTCGTCGGCAAACAACCAGACAGTAGACGTTAGATTGTCGTGCAGGTTGTTAATATGGAATAGGAAGAGGCTTGGTCCGAGGACTGATCCCTGCGCGACACCGGAGTCGACGCTCACAGATGTAGACCTCTCTCCTTCTACGACGACCGACTGGGAACGTCCTAAGAGCCAGTGCTGGATCCATGTGTTGATCCTGCCCTTCTACGACGACCGACTGTGAACGTCCTAAGAGCCAGTGCTGGATCCATGTGTTGATCCTGCCTTAGATGCCGTACTCACGGAGCTTATGGACGAGAAGGCTATGATTAACCTTGTCGAAGGCCTTGGCAAAATCCATGATGAGGACATTCGTCTGCTGTTGGCCGGCCTGGAGGTTGTTGGTAAGATCATCCGCGAACTCGGTGAGTTGGGTCTCACATGATCTGCCTTTCCTGAAACCATGCTGCAGGTCATAGATAATGCTGTTTTTCTCGCCGTGGGACATGTTCGTAGAGGTTATGATGTGCTCCATTAATTTGCAGCAAACAAATGTGAGTGATATTGGCCTGTAGTTCCCTGCGACGTACTTCTGTCCTTTCTTGAAGAAAGGCGATACGTTGGCAGTGCGCCAGTCATCCGGAACTA